ATTATAGGTGTGAGCCACCGCGCCTGGCCACAGAGTCATGTTTTTTTCTCTACTTCAATCCCTGTTTCCCATCATCATCAACTATGACCATTCCTTGCTTTGAAAGTATTTTGGGCCGGGCATGATGGCTCCTACCTGTTGTAATCCTAGCACTTTGGGAGGCTGAGGCAGCTGGATCACTTGACCTCAGGATTTCAAGACCAGCCTGGGCAACATGGTAATACCCCACTTCTACAAAAAATACAAAAGTTAATGGGGAGTGGTGGCACAGGCTTGTAGTCCCAGTTACTTGGGGGACTGAGGTGGGAGGATCGCTTGAGCCCACAAGGTAGATGTTGCAGTGAGCCGTGATTGCACCACTGCACTCCAGCCTGGGTGACACAGTAAGACCCTGTCTCAAAAAAAAAAAAAAAAGGTTCTAATTTCATCCTCTTCTTTGTTCCCATGGGAATACCACCATCACCAGCCAAGCCCCACATACCTCCCACCTGGATTACAGTGAGCTTCCAGGTAATGGATTACAGTGAGCTTCCGGGTAATTTGGTCTGCCACTAGTCTCACCTACTCACCTACTTGGATTTCCCTTCCTCCTGCTGCAGCATTGCCTTCCAAAGTCATGCTTTGCACATGCCACGTCTTAGCTCATTAGACTAAGCCTATAAGCCTCTGCAGGACCTTCACCATCTCGGGGCCACTGCTCACAGTTTCCCAGCGGAAACCTCTGCACCCAGGAGGTTTCCCCACAGTTTGCCTGTGCTGCCTCTCTGGAGCTTTCCCCCTTCCTGTAATGTCCTTGCTGCTCCCCATCTCCTCTAGTCTATTGCCTATGCCTTTTTTTTTTTTTTTTCCTTTTTTTGAGACGGAGTCTCTCTCTCCTCCAGGCTGGTGTGCAGTGGCGTGATCTTGGCTCACCACAACCTTCATCTCCCAGGTTCAAGGGATTCTCCTGCCTCAGCCTCCCGAGTAACTGGAATTACAGGCGTGCATCACCATTCCTGGCTAATTTTTCTATTTTTAGTAAAGACTGGGTTTCACCATGGTGGCCAGGCTGGTCTTGAACTCCTGACCTCAGGTGATCTGCCTGTCTCAGCCTCCCAAAGTGCTGGGATTACAGGCGTGAGCCACCGCACCTGGCCACAGGTCTATACCTCTTTTAAGTCTTCATTCAATACTGGTTGTCCCATGAATTTGTCCCAGACTCACTCATATGCTTAGACCTTTCCTATTATCTTGCTGTAGCTTTTTCAAAGTATGGGACAGCATGGACAAGCAGGCCATGGTTTTCCTTTTAAGAGAAGCAAGGAGGCAGAGTTATTTTAGGAGGAGGCTTATACATTTCATTTTGAACCAATCGCGTTTGGGGTGATAGCAGGATATTAACATAAATTTATTACTTGGACCATTGGAAATGTGTGCCTAGAATTGAGGAGAGAGGTCAGGGCTGGCAGTAACAACTTGGCCACCGTCTGCAGACCTGACTGGGGATGCGGTGGAATTGAGAATGTCTGTAGAAATGAGGAAGAGAACCAAAGACAGTCTGGGACAACACCTAAATATAGCTGTCGGAGCAAAAGTTCAAGATGAAGAAAAACGAATCATTCTTAGAAATGGAGGAGAGGAGCAAAAGAGGCGGAGCAAAGTGGGGCGGAATCAGAGTAGGCCACGCTTCTAAGAAGTTTGGTAAAGGAATTGTGAAAGGAATGTAGTTGAATTTCAGGGTAAGCTGGGGAATTAAAGCAGTGTGTAGATCCAGGGAAACAGCAAGTAGGGCAGGAACCACTGAAGGAACAAATAAAGGAGGAGGCTGGGTCCGGGTTGTCTTGAGTAGGGACATCTAAAAAAAAAAAAGAGTGAAACTGAAGGTGTGGGGTGGATTGGGTACCTGCCGTGCCCCGGGGAAGCTTGGGGCAACCGTGTGCCGAGGCTGTGAGGTTGTCTGGAAGAGGCTCCTGGACAGTGAGAGCTGAGCAGTGGGGAAGAGGACTGTGTGGTCTGGAAGAGGAGAGAAAGGAGAGTGAGCGGCTGAATGGGTATCCAGGCTCCCACACCAAGGCAGAAAGAGGGAGAGGGCCTAGGCATCTCAGGGAGGCAGAGGTAGTGCCAAGCAGGCTGAGAGGCTTTAGTCTTAGCCACTTTTGCCCCATTCCTCCAAATATACATTCTAAGTAAAAACAAAGCAATGCAGAACTGTTTGCTATGTAAATTTAGATTCTAAAGCCCTGTTCTATAGAGATTCTGGAGCTGCCACCGCACCCAGAAAACGGACAGCTAAAGAGAAAACTTCCCTTGGTGATGGGTATTAGATTTTACAAGAAGAGGCCAAAGGAGACACATACTTATGCCTGAAGAACTTTCCAGAGATAGCATTGCATAGTGAAACAGCCTGAATTATTTTTATTTTTAAAAACATTTTTTATTTTTATTTTTTTCTGAGGTAGAGTCTCACTCTGTCACGCAGGCTGGAGTGCAGTGGCGTGATCTCGGCTCACTGCAATCTCCGCCTCCCGGGTTCAAGCAACTCTCCTGCCTCAGCCTCCCAAGTAGCTGGGATTACAGGCATGCGTCACCATGTGCCAGCTAATTTTTTTTTTTTCTAGTTTTAGTAGAGATGGGGTTTCACCATGTTGGCCAGGCTGGTCTTGAACTCGTCACCGCAAGTGATCCACTGCCTTGGCCCCCCAAAGTGCTGGGATTTCAGGCATGAGCCACTGCACCCGGCCAAAAATTTCTTTTCTTTAAGATGAGGCCTCTGTTGCCCAGGCTGGAGTGCAGTGTCACAATCATAGCTCACTGTGACTTTGGACTCCTGGGCTCAAGCAATCCTCCTGCCTCAGCCTCTCAAGTAGCTGGGATTACAGGCACCCACTCCCAGCTAATTCTTTTAAAATAATTGTTTTTAGAGATGAGGGTGTCTATTTGCTGCCCAGGTTGGTCCCAGACTCCTGACAGGCTGCATTTTAATCCTAGCTCCACCACTTAGGGGAGTCAAAATTCAAAACGCAGAAAAGGGCATATACGCTGGGCGCAGGGGCTTACACCTGCAATCCCAGCAATTTGGGAGACTGAGGTGGGCGGGTTGCTTGAGGTCAGGAGTTCGAGACCAGCCTGGGCAATGTGGGAAAACTTGTCTCTGCTAAAAATACAAAAATTAGCCAGATGTGGTGGTGCACACCTGTAATCCCAGCTACTCCGAAGGTTGAGGCAGGAGAATCCCTTAAACTCAGGAGGCAGAGGTTACAGTGAGCAGAGATCCAACACTCAACTCCATAAAAACAAACAAACAAACAAAAAGAAAGCAGGCTGGGTGTGGTGGCTCACTAATCCCAGCACTTTGGGAGGCCAAGGTGAGCGGATCACCTGAGGTTGAGCATTCGAGACCAGCCTGACCAACAAGGAGAAACTCTGTCTCTACTAAAAATACAAAATTAGCTGGGCTTGGTTGCACATGCCTGTAATCCCAGCTACTCGGGAGACAGAAGCAGGAGAAGTGCTTGAACCTGGGAGGCGGAGGTTGCAGTGAGCCAAGATCGTGCCATTGCACTCCAGCTTGGGCAACAAGAGCGAAACTCCATCTCAAAAAAAAAAAAAAAAAAAAAGCAAAGGGCATATAGTGAAAAGCTTTCTTCCTACACATGAGTATTCACTTCCTCTTCCTAGAGGCAACCAAGGTTATCTGTGTGTGTGTGTGTGTGTGTGTGTGTGTGTGTGTTTTGAGACAGTCTCACTCTGTCACCCAGGCTGGAGTGCATTGGTTCGATCTCACTGCAAACTCTGCCTCCCAGTCTCAAGCGATGCTTGTGCCTCAGCCTCCCAGTTTTTTTTTCTTTTTTTTAAACAGGGTCTCATTCTGTCGCCCAGGGTGGAGTGCAGTGGCACGATCATAGCTCACTGCAGCCTCGACCTCCCGGGTCAGGTGATCCTCCCACCTCAGCCTCCGGTGTAGCTGGGGCTACTGGTATGCACCACCACACCCAGTTAATTTTTCTTAGTCTCGTTCTGTCACCCAGACTGGAGTGCATTGGTGCCATCTCATTTGTTTCACAGCAACCTTTGACTTCTGGGCTCAAGCGATCCTCCCACCTCAGCCTCCTAAGGCGGCTAATTAAAAAAAATTTTTTTTTTTAGAGATGGGGTTTCGCCATGTTGCCCAGGCGGATCTCGAACTCCTGGGCTCAAACAATCCTTCCACCTCGATCTTTCAAAGAGCTGGGATGAGAGATTTCCACCATGCCTGGCCTCAGTTTCTTTCTTTTTTAATTTTTTTTTTAGACGTTATAACTCTTTTTAATGGCCTCATTTTGTTATGTTTAATTCGAGAAATATTCTTTTCATATACAAAGAATATATTTTCTCTCCCTTTAAAAACAAATAGTAGACTGTTTAATACCTTGCTTTATTCAGTTAGTGATGTTTCTTAGATACGGTTCCAAATCAGTATACAAAGCACTTCCTCTTCCTCTCTTCCGGCTACATAGCAATCCACTGAATGGGTGAGCTATGAGCTATTTAACCTATTCTTTATTGATGGACATTTCGCTTTGTATATACATTTGTAATTCTGATATATAGTACAAATCACCCTCCAAAGAAATTGTACTGGTTTCTTCTCCTACAATGTGTGAGAGTTGGGTAATTACTTAATCTCAGTGTGTGAGTCTCAGTTTCTCTATCTGTAAAATAAGCAAAACAGTGTTGACAATATCTATTTCTTGGAATTATTGTGGAGATTACTGAGATGATGCATGTAAAGTATTTGGCATGTAGGAGTTGGTGCTCTCCAAATAAGGATATGATTTTATTTGTATTTGTGAGCCACTGTCCCAGTCAGGTAAATGGATATGATGAGACCTCCTTACCAGACTGGGTTTCTCTGATTAGAATGAGGAGCAGATGTTGCAGGAAATTAGCAATTGAGATCAGAAGAGCTGTGGGCATTCTCTTGCCAGAGGTGCCATGTCTCCAAGGCACCTCAGCCTCTCCCATTTGTCTTCTGCTCCCAGGTCCATCCAAGCTGAGCGATCGTGCTGACTCAAGAAAAAGCCTTTGGGACCAAGGATGCTTTTCCATGATCATCAAGAATCTTAAGATAGAAGACTCAGATACTTACATCTGTGAAGTGGAGAACAAGAAGGAGGAGGTGGAATTGCTGGTGTTCGGATGTGAGTGGGGCAGGTGGGGACGAGGATACCTCCTGGTTGGTTCTCTTCCCCACTACTCCCACCCCTGCACCAAATCCAGCCTGAGCTGGTGATACCGCAGCAGCCCCAAGAGGACCAGGCTGTCAAACTGGCCTCCGAATCTCTTCAAAGCCCTTTTGATTAGGTGGGGGATGGTGGTGGGCGGAGGAGGGAAGAGGCCTTGGGAAAAGGAAAGAAAAGGGAAGGAAGCAAGGGAAGGAGAGAGAGAGACTGGGGAAGAGAGGATGAGGGGAGAGGAGGAAAGAAGAGAGAGAGGAGGGGAGAGGGAAACCCTGTCTTGGCTGGGGGTGGGCAGCTGGGTGCTGGGAGGAAGGAGATGTTGGGATGGAGATAATGGAGAGATGTTCTTGGTTTCCTGTCCTCTGCCCTTCTCCTTGGGGATGGTATGTGTGTGACACAGCTGGCCTTTCCCTCCACAGTGACTGCCAACTCTGACACCCACCTGCTTGAGGGGCAAAGCCTGACCCTGACCTTGGAGAGCCCCCCTGGTAGTAGCCCCTCAGTGAAATGTAGGAGTCCAGGGGGTAAAAACATACAGGGGGGGAGGACCCTCTCTGTGCCTCAGCTGGAGCGCCAGGATAGTGGCACCTGGACATGCACCGTCTCGCAGGACCAGAAGACGGTGGAGTTCAAAATAGACATCGTGGTGCTAGGTAAGGGAAGCCCCTCTGCCCGAAGTCTCCTCCCTGCCCCGGAGGCTGACAGCCCCTCCCTCTGCTCTCACTTCCCTGCTTCTGGGTCTGGTGCTGGGAGGTCAGGAGTGGAGAAGGCTAGGTCCCCTAGAGCTGAGGCCATTCTTGAAGGACTCACTGGGACCCTCATTATCAGGGGGCTGATTGACAGCCACCCCTCAGTGTGGTGGACATGGAGAAAGGAAGGGCTGGGGAAGGTAAGGATGCTAGAGGCCCCAGTCTCCTCTGGAGGCCCCAAAGGATGAATGTCAGGGCGTTTACTTTCTTTGTTGCCTCAGCTCCCCACCCCTACCAAGTTGGCAAATCCACTTACTCACGGACACTAACACCAGCAAGCCGACCCTGATGATGTTCTATGTTGTACCTCTGGACCCCTGAGTCAGGCCACTGTGGAGAGACCGAGGTCCTACCCCAGATCCTGTCCCCTGGGTGCTTATGGGACATAAGGTAGTGTAGTGTGCCAGTTTAGTGCATGGACCCTGGTTGAAATCCTGGTTCTGCCACAACCATGTGACCTTGGGTGAGTTACTGAACCTCTCTGCACCTTGGTTTCAGCCTCTGTGAAATGGGGATGATGTTAACTGCCATAGTGCCTACCTTGTATTAAGTTGAGGACTGATACACGCAAGGCACTAAAAATGGTGCCTGGCACAGAGTAAGCCCTAGTTAAAGTTAAGTGTTCGTTCTTATTTTGTGAAGGGTGATGAGTTATGACTCTAAGGAGTGGAGGCCAAATGGCTTCTGTGGTCCAGGAATCCTGAGGACAGCAAGGATCCCCTGTGGCTGGGCTGTTCTGTGATGGCTTCTGGGAGGAGAGAGGTGGTCTGCTATAGGAAAATGCTGGGTGGAAGAGGGGAGAGAAGGCTGGAGAGGTAGGAAGGAACTGAAGCATCTGAAATGACAAGGTGGGTGTCTGTTCTCATCGGCTCCCCTTCCATCTCCCTGCTGCCCCCGCATGCCGACCCCACTCGTGCAGTCTCATCTTCCTATCTCCTCACTCGGGGTCTCTCCCTTCCCACCTCCAGCTTTCCAGAAGGCCTCCAGCACAGTCTATAAGAAAGAGGGGGAACAGGTGGAGTTCTCCTTCCCACTCGCCTTTACACTTGAAAAGCTGACGGGCAGTGGCGAGCTGTGGTGGCAGGCGGAGAGGGCCTCCTCCTCCAAGTCTTGGATTACCTTTGACCTGAAGAACAAGGAAGTGTCTGTAAAACGGGTTACCCAGGACCCCAAGCTCCAGATGGGCAAGAAGCTCCCGCTCCACCTCACCCTGCCCCAGGCCTTGCCTCAATATGCTGGCTCTGGAAACCTCACGCTGGCCCTTGAAGCGAAAACAGGAAAGTTGCATCAGGAAGTGAACCTCGTGGTGATGAGAGGTGAGGGGCCAGGCCAGGGAGGGGCAGGCAGGGGAAGGAGGTGGAGGGCCCTGGCCCAGGGCTCCCTCTGAGGCAAGCCAGGCCCCAAGAGGGGATGCCTAGGCCCTGGTTACCTGGATGAAGTAAGGGAGGGCCCTTTGGGTTTGGGGCTGGTTTTGAGCTGAGACATCTATGAGCCGGCGTGGGGCTGGCTTCACTGAAGATCCGCAAACCACTTGGGCTAAGAACCGGGGTTCCCGTTCTGCCTGTGACCAACCCTTTGTGACCCTGACTAAGCCCCCTCCCACTTCAGGCCTGCTTCCTGACCTGTCTAATAAAGATAATGAAATCTGCTCTCTGTAGGATAGTAATGATGATAATGTCAAGCTCCAAGTTGAGTTTCTGGCTTCCTTATCTCCTTATCATCATAACAACTCCACAAATAATAATGGCTAACACTTAATGCTCAGCACCGGCCGGGCCCCATCCAGACACTACATGTATGTCTGCTTTTAGTACTGTCCGCAGGTTGTTCAGTCCCTTGCCCAGAGGCACTCAGCTGCTAAGCAGCGGAGCTGGGATTCAAATCCAATACCACTGGACCCCAAACGCTGTTTTTCCTCATACGACTGCATGAAAATCTGCTCTAAAAGGCTAAAAGAAGGCCGCCCATATAGAGTATCATTTTAATTGTTCCACTGAATCTCAGGCTTTCAATCTCAGCCTCTCATTCCTCTGCAGCCACTCAGTTCCAGGAAAATTTGACCTGTGAAGTGTGGGGACCCACCTCCCCTAAGCTGACGCTGAGCTTGAAACTGGAGAACAAGGGGGCAACGGTCTCGAAGCAGGCGAAGGCGGTGTGGGTGCTGAACCCTGAGGCGGGGATGTGGCAGTGTCTGCTGAGTGACTCGGGACAGGTCCTGCTAGAATCCAACATCAAGGGTGAGGACCCAGGTTCCATGGCCTCTGCCTCCTGAGCTACGGGGCCTTCCTGTGGTTGGCAGAGACCACCCAGAGTCCCAGCCTCCCAATGCCTGAGTTGGGGGGTTATGGGGATGGTGTCCTGGAGGCATAGAAGTGATGAGGTGAGGTGGGTTGTGGTCCTGGGCTCTAGGCTGCCAACTGTAGTTCTACAAGTTCCGACTCCCTCAGGTCTACAGCCTAGGAATGGGGTCCACCTGACCAAAAGCCCTCCTCCCTGGCTCCTGGCTTTTCTCCAAATCCAGACACACATACACACACACTCACACATGCACTCACACACACATGCACTCACATGTACTCACATAAACTCTCACACACCCACACACACATCACTCACACACTGGCACACACTCATACACACACTACACACATCCACACTCTCACACCTACACACTTACACACATCTACTCACATACATGCACTCACACATACTCTCACACACTCGTACACTCACACACACGTACTCACACAGACTCATACACACTCACACGCACACACACTCACATGTACACACATGCACACATGCACATTCACGCATGCATACACATTCACACATGCACACACATGCACACACACTCTTACACATTCACACACATACTCACCCACGCACACTCACACCCACTCTCATACATGCACACTCACACACTCTCATACACTCACATACATTCATATGCACACGTGCACACACACACGCATGCACACATTCACGCACTCATCCTCACACACATGCACACACGCACGCATGCACATACACACACACACATTCACACACATCACACACACATTCACACACACGCACTCACACACACACACACAGAGTCCAGGGTCTAGACCACTGCTTCTACCTCTGCAGAGTGCCCTGTGGTCTCTCAAACATAAATGCCCCTCTCTCCCAACCCCAGGATCAAACCAGAGACTGGCCAGGCGGGGTTGCAGGTCAGTCCTCAGTCCGCTGGCCTGTGGAGGAGGGTGGTGCACTGAGCACATTTCTTTCCCTTGCAGTTGTGCCCACATGGCCCACCCCGGTGCAGCCAATGGCCCTGATTGTGCTGGGGGGCGTTGCGGGCCTCCTGCTTTTCACTGGGCTAGGCATCTTCTTCTGTGTCAGGTGCCAGCATCGAAGGGTGAGTGACCCCACACCTGGTCCCCACAGGGCCCTCAAACCCCTGAGTCCCGTACCAGGAGATCCCGTATATGGGACCTGCTTTTGGCCAGCTCCCTCTGCCCACCCCTAAGTTCCCCTGCTGCCCTGACCCAGATGCCACTCAAGGGAGAGACAGAAAGGAGCAGAGAGTTAATTCCAGGACAGATGGCCTGAGCTATGTAACTGCTTCTCCTCTCCCAGCTTCCCCCAATCGCCCCACCAAGGGGCACCTCCCTTCTGGAGGCCTGGAACCCTCATGACTCCCTTTCTTGTCCCTGGACAGCGTCAAGCAGAGCGGATGTCTCAGATCAAGAGACTCCTCAGTGAAAAGAAGACCTGCCAGTGCCCTCAGTAAGGATCTGGGAGGAGGGGCTGGGAGAGGGGAAAAGGGTGGGGAGAGGGAGTGAGAGAGGAGGGGGAGGAAGGGGGGACAAAGGGGGCAGGAAGGGAGGATGGACAGGAGGAAGGAGTTGAGGAGGGAGAGTTGGGGGGAGCGGAGGCGAGGAGACTGGGGCTAAAGGGGTGTGGTGGAGAGGATAGAGGGGTGGGAAAAGATGGCCAGGAGCTAGAAGGAGGCGGAAGTGGGAGGGTGGAGCTGAAGGAGCAGCAGGCCAGGGCCTTTCTGGACTAGTTCTGCAGCTGTTGCCCAGAGGCTAGCACTGCGCTGGAAAAGCCATGGAGCTGCTAGAACATAAAGGGGTTGCAGTGGGGACAGACCTGCTCCCCTTCTTCTTTGTTCCGCAGCCGGTTTCAGAAGACATGTAGCCCCATTTGAGGCACGAGGCCAGGGAGATCCCAATTGCAGCCTCCCCAGGTGTCTGCCCGCGTTTCCCGTTGGGCTCATGGCCTGCGGACCAGATGAATGTAGCAGATCCTAGGCCTCTGGCCTCCTGTTCGCCTCCTCTACGATTTACCATTGTTTCTCCTGGGTTAGGCCCCAGCTTCATTGGTTAAGTGTTGCTCTCTATTTTCCAGAGGCTTAATCACACCATTCTCCCCACCGTTTCCTTTTCCTTCAAGCCCTAGCCCTTCTCTCATTATTTCTCTCTGACCTTCTCCCCCACTGCTCATTTGGATCCCAGGGGAGTGTTCAGGGCCAGCCCTGGCTGGCATGGAGGGTGAGGCTAGGTGTCCGGAAGCATGGAACATGGGACTGTTATTTCACAGGACAGGACCCTGGGACCACAGAGGGCAGGAACTTGCACAAAATCACACAGCCAAGCCAGTCAAGGATAGATGCAGATCCAGAGGTTTCTGGCAGCCAGCACCTCCTGCCCCACGCTGCCTGCGTCTCACCCTATGTGGGTGGGGCCACAGACTCACGTCCTGACCTTGCACAGGCAGCCCCACTGGACACAGCCCCATGTACACAGCCACAAGGGATGCTTCACATCCTCTGTCTGTTTGAGACTTACAAAAATCCTACAAGGCTGGCAGTGACAGAACTAAGATGATCATCTCCAGTTTACAGACCAGAATCAGAGCTCAGAAAAGCTAGATGATTGATTACCCAAGGTCATATAGCTAGCAAGTGCTGGAGTCGGGACTAACCCAGGTCCCTTGTCCCAAGTTCCACTGCTGCCTCTTGAATGCAGGGACAAATGCCACACGGCTGTCACCAGTGGCTAGTGGTGGGTACTCAGGGTGTACTGTTGGGTTCGCAGGAGCACAGCACCCATGGGAAGGGCCCATCTTAGAGAACTTATAAGCAGGGATGAAGGCCTCCCTGTCTAAAATTCCTCCTTCATCCCCCACTGGTGGCAGAATCTGTTACCAGAGGACAAAGCCTTTGGCTCTTCTGATCAGAGTGCAGGCTGGGAGCACAGGCCCTGTGGCAGACAATGCCCAGTGACCAGCCACTCACCCTGTGCAGAACCTCCTGGAAGTGAGTTTTGCTGGGAGAAGGGATAGCTAGCCTGAGAGGGAACCCTCTAAGGGACCTCAAAGGTGATTGTGCCAGGCTCTGCGCCTGCCCCACACCCTCCCTTACCCTCCTCCAGACCAGTCAGGACACAGGGAAATCAGGGTTACAAATCATCTTCTTCTTGACCCATTTCTGTCAGGATCTCCTCTCTTCCTACCCTTCCTCACCACTTCCCTCAGTCCCAACTCCTTTTCCCTCTTTCGTCTCCTCCTATCTTTACAGCCTGCCTCTTCCAGGAAGACCACCCTATTGCTGCTGGGGCTCCCCATTTGCTTACTTTGCATTTGTGCCCACTCTCCACCCCTGCTCCCCTGAGCTGAAAGAAAAATACAATAAACTTACTAAAAGAAGATGCTCTTCGTGTGTGTGTGTGTGTCTGTGAGAGACAGAGAGAGAGACAGAGAGAGAGACAGAGAGAGACAGAGACAGAGAGAGACAGAGACAGAGAGAGAGACAGAGAAAGAGAGAGAGACAGAGACAGAGAGAGAGACAGAGAAAGAGAGAGAGACAGAGACAGAGAGAGAGACCCCTTCTCTGGGGACCAGGAATCTTCTGGTCTTTGGGGTCGGACCCAGAGGAGAGGTTGCCTGGCGTGCCCCAGGAAGGAGATGAAGTTTCCCTGGAGAGGGAAAAATTCTGTGGAGGCTGGCTATCCACCTCCACAACCCACAGGGCTCTGTGTGGGCCTGTGTGTGTGTGAGGCTGAGACTCTGTAATTACACGTGTGTGATATACCGTGGGGGAGAGACTCAGGGTTGCGTGAGCTCTCCTGGTGTATGTGTGTGGCAGAGAAAAAGGACTGTGAGAAACTGTAACATGTGTGTGCAAATTGTATCCCCAACACGTGTGTTTGTGTTCAGGAGGAGGAAGCAGTGTGTGTGTGTCTGTGTGCATGCATGCGCCCACATCCTTTTAGCTTGTGCACACCCACCCTCAACTCCACAAGCAGCCCCAGCTTGCACCACAAGCCCCCTCACTCCCAAACTCAAGGCCCAGCCCTCACACAGATATACACAGTGACACACGCTTCCTCCTCCCCGAACAGCTAGCTCCTCAGTCCCCAACAACACCAGCTGCCTCTTGGAGCTTGTGTTCGTGTTGAAAAACGGGAAGGGGTGGGGGCAGGACATGAACCATTTCACCAATGAAGCCGGTTCCCAGCCATCCTCCTCACCCGCCTCCCTCTCGGCGCCTTCCTTGCCCCTCCTCCCCTAGTCACCACCGTCCAGTTCCCCACCCTACACTCGTTTCCCGCCCCCCACCCCACAAAGCTGTCCTGCAGTTCCCCTCGCCTGGGCTCACTGGCAGGATGACCGTGGGAGAGAGGGTCCTGGAGAGTGAGAGGGGCAGAGACTGAGTGAGCCGCAGGCTGAGCCAGGGAGGCCGGGACTGAGGGGGAGGAGGGAGGCCCGGGGGAAGGGAGGGAGGGAGAGAGGGAAGGAGGGAGGAGGGCGGGTGAGCTGGAGCCGGCAGGCAGCGCGAGCCTGAGAGAGCCGCGTCGGGAGTGCGGTCTCCATGGCAGTGCTGGGCGCAGCCAGAGGTAAGACGACCCCTGCCCCAACCCCCGTGTTGCCTCCCTTTCCCCCCCAGGCTGCCTCCTCTCCCCTAGGCCACCCCTCCTCCCAGCCACCTGCTGTTTCTGCCCTGGAGAACCTGGAGGGGGACAGGAGGGAGGAGCCGCCTGACCTTACCCCTTCACCCCAAAGGGCGAGGGACCCCGTCGGCCAGGGAACCTCCCAGATCCCCCTTCCCACCTTCCTCTGATCTCTCCCTGTCCTTCACCTCCCTCTCTCTGTCCTTCACATCTTTCCTGCCGCCTTCCCTCTCTGACTTCCTATCTCTTTCGTCCTGAGCCCACCAGCCGGGCCTGGGTAGAGGTGGGTGGGAAGGGGTCCAGGGCTGTAGGAGAGGACACTGGGGGCTGCTTGTGGCCAAGTCCCTCCACCTCCCTCTGGCTGGCCATTGTCATGGCAACTAGGGTGTACTGGGCTCCGGAGGGAAGCCAAGGGTGGGGGTGGACCAGGACCTCTTGGGGAAAGCAAGGGTCTGAGCTGCTTCCATGGGAAACAGACCCTTTCACTGCTGTGCCCCATTTTACCCCACTTACCCTAAAGCCATTATGCGCTTCCTTATAGCCTCCCTCTGTTCAGGGTTTCACCCGATTCCCTTACCCCCTTCCCAGGGCTCACTGAAGCTCAGCATCACGCACTAAAACTGGGACCATCCTTCCTCCCATCAGAGGGAAACTGAGGCTCTGGGCCAGGGAGGAAGAGTCAAGGTCTCCCCGCGGGAGTCAGCACCTTATTGAACATTTGGCTTTTCTTCTCAGCCTCCTATTCACTGCTCCCTCCCTCCCTCCCTCCTCCAGTCCCTCCTCCCTCCAAAGCCTCCTCTCCAGGGGGTTTGAGCTTTTCCTGCTATTTTCAGATACTACCACTTTGCCCCCTCTTTCTCTTCTGCTCAAACTCTCCTCCTTCTCCCTAGTTCCCCCTCTTTCCATTTCTGGATGCTTCTGATGTCAGCGGTTTCCCCGCCTTCAGGTTCCCTAGCACCCCCTTCGGTCCCAGACTCCTTTCTCCCATTTTCCCAGATCTGGGGAGCTGGAGGGTGATCATCCAGGTTTGGGGAAGTAGGGACTAAGCACCAAGACCCCCGCATCCAGGAGACCGGCAGGTAGGGGAGGAAGGCTGTAATGCCATATCCCCGTTCACTGTGAACCCTCAAGAGGAAACCAGTCATGTGTCTCCCATCAGTAGTTCTGAAGAGACATTTAGGGACTTGAAGATAGGGGTGGAGTAGTGCTGAGCAGGGGATGTTCTAAGAAGGAACCCGGGAGTTCCAGCGGGAGGAGAAAGGGCTAAAGGAGACAGGGAGGTGGGAATACCCTCTTCCCTAGAGGTCTGGAAGAGCGGGGCTCTCATCTGTGCGGGGTGTTTAGCTGTCTGATTTAAGGCAAAGGAATGTTCTGAATGACCCTCAGGGCCCTAGTAATCAGTTATCCCTATAGTTTCAAGAAAGGGGGCACAGGAGGCTGGTTATAGACCTTTGCCCTCTCCCTCCCACATCTCATCTTTCCCTTGCAGCCTGTCCAGGGGGCTGAGCCCCACCCCCAAATCCCTGGGGCATCCAGAAGATTCCTGACTAGTCAAGAACCAGAGGAAAAAGAGACCCGGACGTCCCAGCATGGGGACCAGAACCCCCCAGCCAGCCTCACAGTTGGGAAAGTAGCCAGCTTGCCTGCCCCATCAATTGCAGGGATGCTTAAGGAAGGCCCCGCCCAGTATGAAAGCTGAGGACTGCCTCTGCTGACCCTCAGTCTCCTCCCCTGCCCTCCACATCTGCCCTCAGCTGGGTCGATCATGCAATGCTGAGCACTGGGGTGAGCCTGGGGGCAGCCTGCCTGCTGACAGGGCGAGGATTGTGGGGATTATGGGCATGTTTGTGAGTGGGGCTCCTGGGTGAGACCTAGCCCCCACCCCCACGGAGCTCAAGGGGGTGGGGGGCTGAGGATAGGATGGCTCGGGGCGGGGCCAGGGCAGAGGAGGCCTCCCTGCACTCCAATGCATTGTCCTGGCTGGCCTGTGGGCTCCTGGCGCTGCTGGCCAATGCCTGGATCATCCTCAGCATCTCGGCCAAGCAGCAGAAGCACAAGCCACTGGAGCTGCTGCTGTGCTTCCTAGCGGGCACACACATACTCATGGCAGCTGTGCCCCTCACCACCTTTGCTGTGGTACAGTTGCGGCGTCAGGCTTCCTCCGACTATGACTGGAACGAGAGTATCTGCAAGGTCTTCGTGTCCACCTACTACACCCTGGCCCTGGCCACCTGCTTCACGGTCGCCTCGCTCTCCTACCATCGCATGTGGATGGTGCGCTGGCCAGTCAACTACCGCCTCAGCAACGCCAAGAAGCAGGCGCTGCATGCCGTCGTGGGCATCTGGATGGTCAGCTTCATCCTCTCCACACTGCCCTCCATTGGCTGGCACAACAATGGCGAGCGCTACTATGCCCGCGGCTGCCAGTTCATAGTCTCCAAGATCGGCCTCGGCTTTGGTGTTTGCTTCAGCCTCTTGCTACTTGGGGGCATTGTCATGGGGCTGGTCTGTGTGGCCATCACCTTCTACCAGACACTGTGGGCCCGGCCCAGGAGGGCTCGGCAGGCCCGGAGAGTGGGGGGCGGTGGGGGGACCAAAGCGGGTGGGCCAGGGGGCTTGGGTACCCGGCCAGCTTTTGAGGTGCCAGCCATTGTGGTGGAGGATGCCCGAGGGAAGCGGCGGTCCTCGCTGGATGGCTCAGAGTCTGCCAAGACATCCCTGCAGGTCACCAACTTGGTCAGCGCCATCGTCTTTCTCTATGACTCACTCACAGGGGTGCCCATCTTGGTGAGATCGGGGTCCTCCCCACCTGTTCTCCCCAATATCCAGGCCCCAGCATCATCACCTGACCTCCAACTTCATCAGCCATACAGCAGCTCCATCATCTCTCCTCTAGTTCCATCATCCATCTTCCTCTCCTCTGTCCATCCCCCACTCCATTTGTGGCCCCCATCTTGATCATCTGACTTTTAGTTCCCACTACCCTGTCTACCCCAGCTCCAGCATCTGCTTCAGTTCCCACTCCTCAGCTCCATCACCGTCCTTCAGTTCCACTACCTGTCCTCCAGCTCCGTCATCCATCCTGCAGCTCCACAGTTCAGCCGCAGACCTCTCATCCAGCTGCTGGGCTCCACTCTCCATTCCCTCCTTCCCTCTGGATGCCACATGGTCTCTGAGCAGTCTTGGGTGGAAACCCCACAGGCCTCACCCCACCACCCCATCTAGTCACTGTTCCTGGGTTCCTCTCTGTCTCTACGCTTCCTGGTCCACCTATGTTCCTCTCCCTCCTGACCGCAGGGCTTTGCCTCCAGCACTCTCCCCTACCTTCCTCTGAGTCAGTTCCTTCCCTCTGTTCACTCCATCTCCACCTCCGGCTTCACCTCTGTTGGATCACAGGGATCAGGCATTACTTCTGACGTCTTGCCCACCAGCTGCACTAGGATATGGGGTTCAGGTGGGCTCCTCAGCTCTGGCCCTGACCCAGCCCATTCCCACCCTTCCCCAGGTGGTGAGCTTTTTCTCTCTCAAGTCGGACTCGGCGCCCCCCTGGATGGTGCTGGCTGTGCTGTGGTGCTCCATGGCACAGACGCTGCTGCTGCCCTCCTTCATCTGGTCCTGCGAGCGCTACCGCGCCGACGTGCGCACAGTGTGGGAGCAATGCGTGGCCATCATGTCTGAGGAGGATGGAGATGACGGTCAGAAGAGGGGCTGGGCTTTGGCTTTCCTGGACATCTATCTATTCCCTTTCCTGCCGTTCCTTCTCAGTCAGAGGATGGGCTGCCCTGGAGTGCCCCCTACTGGACAGAACCTGCACCACCCTGGGCTCCCCTTTCCCTAAGCAGGCACCCTGCTGTCCACTTACTGCTTCCTGCAGCACTCAGGGCTCCCTTCACCGGGCCTAGGCTCCCCTCCAGAAGTCCACACTACCCAGCTCTGGCACTATGGGGAACCTGAGCTTCCTAAGAGAGGCCCCCAGCCATAGGGATGGCTCTTGGGGGAGGGCATGTAATTGTTTCAATAACTTCATCTATATGTATGAAGCACTCCACTCAGGATTTAGCACTGAACACAGCAAATGCTAGCTACTCTCACTGTCCTCTTGACACATACAGGCTAATGAGAACTAAAGGGGTCTCTGGGAGCTTATCAAGGCAGTGGTCAGGGGTGGTAGGCATTCCCTGCCTGTAACTGCTCTGCCCATTTTCTCTCCTAGATGGGGGCTGTGATGACTATGCAGAGGGCCGAGTTTGCAAAGTTCGCTTTGATGCCAATGGAGCTACAGGACCAGGGAGCCGGGACCCCGCCCAGGTGAAGCTGCTGCCTGGAAGGCACATGCTCTTCCCTCCTCTTGAGAGAGTCCACTACTTACAGGTATGGAACTGGGGGATACACCTCCTACCCTTGGTGCCCCTCATCACTTTTCTCCAGTGTCTGTTATGCACCCCAATCCCCTCTTCCCTAGCCCTGGCTTTCAGGGCACCATAAAGCTGGGTGAAAGAAAACTATAGTAAGAGAGGCATCCCTTCAAATCTCGTGGGGCCAGGTTTGCCCACCGGAGCAAACGTTTTGAAGAAGGTTAAGAAGGTGGCACCATCTTCTGGAGTCCCCACTTGGTTCCTCTGCCTCTGTCCCTGAAGCACCTTCAGGTCTTACCCGCTCCTCTTCCCAGGTCCCCCTATCCCGGCGTCTGTCCCATGATGAGACAAACATCTTCTCTACCCCTCGGGAACCAGGCTCCTTCCTGCACAAGTGGTCATCCTCTGATGACATCCGGGTCCTCCCAGCCCAAAGCCGGGCCCTCGGGGGTCCTCCTGAGTACCTGGGACAAAGACACAGGTTGGAGGATGAGGCGGACGAGGAGGAGGCTGAAGGTGGTGGGGGGCTGGCCAGCCTTCGCCAATTCTTGGAGAGTGGGGTTCTGGGGTCAGGTGGGGGACCCCCACGGGGCCCTGGCTTCTTCCGGGAGGAGATCACCACCTTCATCGATGAGACACCTCTGCCTTCTCCGACTGCCTCACCAGGGCACTCTCCTCGTCGGCCCCGGCCACTGGGCCTCTCACCCCGCCGACTCTCCCTTGGGTCCCCTGAGAGCAGAGCCGTTGGACTTCCTTTGGGACTAAGTGCAGGGAGACGCTGCTCCCTGACGGGGGCCGAAGAAAGTGCAAGGGCTTGGGGAGGATCCTGGGGCCCAGGCAACCCTATCTTTCCCCAGCTGACCCTGTGAGCCCAAGCAGGCCTGCTGAACTCAGAGGAGGAAGCCTGAGTGAGTAACACCTCATTCTGGCCCTGAGAGTAGGGCAGCTGCCTCCAGACTCTGGGGAGATGGGCGCTAGATTTGGGGCTCAGAAGGCCCTGCTCTCTCCCATCCAAGTGACCAGATGCCCTACTCACCTTCCATCACCCCTAGCAATATGTATTAAAGTCTGAAATGTTGCCATGGAAACCTCAGCGTCCAGTGTACTGCGATGGAAAGAAAGGGGCTTGGAGGGTGGAGAGGCTCACAGAGGACACGACAGAGCAGGGGCAGCAGACAGAGGCACAGAAGGACACATGGAGAAAAGATCACACGCTCCACCAGGCAGCCTCGCACAAGGAAGGCTGGGAGGAGCATATCCTGCTGGGGGCAGGGCTTGAGGACACACATGTCTTTGTTGGTTTGGGGTGTGAAGGATCTCTGTTCAGATTTGTTGAGGTGATTTTAGAGCGTGGCTCCAGTCCCAGTGCCCAACTCTCCTTCTAACCCCAAATCCATCCAGGGGCTCACTTTATGGGCAGAAAAGGGTTTGGGGCTGACGTAGTGTCCCGGGCCTGGACACCTCCTCCCTGCTGCATTTTAAAGCTCTTTCTCCAAAGGAGTGTAAGGGTGGATGAGTGTGTGGGGGGAGGGGGGAGGGGGAGGAGCGGGGGTCCGCGTCCACAGTCCTTTTTCTGGACCCAGAAGCGTGTTTGTGGAGGGAACACTGCCCCAGCAGTTACCTCCAGACCTCAGGGGCTGAAGTCACCGCTGGTCCTCCATGGATGCCCAGGCCTGCTCCAGTTCCCGCCTTTTGCCCCCTTCCTCCCAGTTTCTCCCTCTCGTTCCACACTAGATCAGCTTTCTCCACTCGGCATTCTTCTTTCTCCATCTTTCACATGGGCCTCTCCCACCATCGGGTCTCAGCCCTATCTCTCTCTCTCGGCCTCCCTCATTCCTTCTCCCTCTCCCTCCGCCTCTCCACCTCTCCTTCCTTCCCCTCCCTCCCCCTTCCCCCCTTTCCTCTCCCTCCCTCTCGGCTCCCGCATTTTCCCTCGGCGGCCGGCGGCTCCGACATCATGCTCCGGCTCCTCCGGCCGCTGCTGTTACTGCTGCTGCTGCCTCCCCCGGGGTCCCCTGAGCCCCCCGGCCTGGCCCAGCTGTCCCCGGGAGCGCCCCCGCAGGCTCCCGACTTGCTCTACGCGGACGGGCTGCGCGCCTACGCTGCCGGGGCTTGGGCGCCGGCCGTGGCGCTGCTGCGGGAGGCGCTGCGGAGCCAGGCGGCGCTGGGCCGGGTGCGGCTGGATTGCGGGGCGAGCTGCGCGGCCGAGCCGGGCGCCGCGCTCCCCGCCGTGCTTCTCGGGGCCCCGGAGCCCGACTCCGGGCCGGGACCCACGCAGGGGTCCTGGGAGCGACAGCTCCTCCGTGCAGCGCTCCGCCGCGCAGACTGCCTGACCCAGTGCGCAGCACGGAGGCTGGGCCCCGGGGGCGCGGCGCGGCTTCGCGTGGGGAGCACGCTCCGGGACGCCTTCCGCCGTCGGGAGCCCTACAACTACCTGCAGAGGGCCTATTACCAGGTGGGGAGCGGGCCGGGCAGCTCCGAGGGTCCCAGCCCTCACCACGACGCTGTCCTACTTTACGATGCCCAGTAGTAGGCGGAATGCTGTTGCCCGGACCCCGGACGGGGCTGGGGGGCGTACCGCCGGCCTCTGCTTTGGAGCTGGCTAAGCGACCGCGAGGACCTGTTGAGATCGCGGAAGAGCAGCCGAGGGGGAGTGCGAGCAGAGTGGGAATGGGGCGGGGAGGTCGTGAGGCGGGTCGGGAGCAGATCGAAGATGGAGGGACAGGGCCGCCTCTTCCTAGGAATGAAGCGGAGGCGGTGGGGGCGAAACCGGCTGTCGGACGGGAAGTGTGCGTGGGTGTGTGTGTGTCGGGGGTGGTGGTGAGTGTGAACCTTCGCTTGGGGCAGGAGGTAGCTTCGGAAAGGAAGGAGCAGACGGAGGCAAGGTTGGAGGCCTCCGAGGCCAGACCTCTGCGGGCGGGGAGGGGACAGCACGCCGCAGCCGCCGGTACCGCAGCAGTTGCCTACGTGGCTGGGGAAGCGGGGCGCCGGTTGCACTCACCTCAGCTCAGGGTCCTAGAGACCTGCGGGTTTTGCTGGTCGCTGAGGTCTCCCCCGCTTCCCCACCTCACTTAAGCCCATCACTTCCACCTGGTCTCCCAAATTGAGGGCCTGAAGTCCTGAGGCCCAGGTCCCACCCAACTCCTACGTCTTTAGACCCCCTTTCCTTCGGTGTCAGCCTTCTGAGAGTCCCAATGTTCTGGCTTCTAGGGGGTCTGCAATTTGGGCGGTGGGCGGTTCTTATTGGCCAGTCTTCCATGAGGCTCTTGGGCACCCAGAGTGTGTGTCTGGGGTAGGGTGGGGAGGCCGACCAGGGAGCAGAGGTGTGACCTCCATCCCAGGGCTCTGATGCCCTCCTCCCTCCGCCTCCTCAGTTGAAGAAGCTGGATCTGGCAGCCGCCGCAGCACACACCTTCTTTGTAGCAAACCCTATGCACCTGCAGATGCGAGAGGACATGGCTAAGTACAGACGAATGTCGGGAGTTCAGCCCCAGAGCTTCCGGGACCTGGAGACGCCGCCACACTGGGTGAGACCCCCAGCACCACCCCTGTCTTGCCCCCAGCCTTTTCCTGGCTGGATACACAGGCCTCACTAAACTGCTGCATTGTGCTGCTTCAGCGTACGGAGATGGGGTAATGATCCTCAGTGACCCTGGTGGGGAGTCCTTCTCTAGGACTTCGTTTCCTTCCTGGATGATCGCGGAAGTCTGATGTTCCAACATTATGATTCTGAGGCCCATCCTTATTCTTCTCCATGGTGAAGAGGGACATGGAGTCCTTGCCCCAAATGAGACCAACACCGCTCTCCTCTCTACCTCCCAGTTTGGCAACCCCCTGGATCTCAGGTGACTGCTCCCTTCCCCAACAGGCAGCCTATGACACCGGCCTGGAGCTACTGGAGCGCCAGGAGGCAGGACTGGCACTGCCCAGGCTAGAGGAGGCCCTGCAGGGGAGCCTGGCCCAGATGGAGAGCTGCCGTGCTGACTGCCAGGGGCCTGAGGAGCAGGAGGGGGCTGAAGAAGAGGAGGATGAGGCTGGGAGCCAGGGGGGCCTCTATGAGGCCATTGCAAGTACGGGGCTGGGAGTGTGTGTGGGGGGTGGGTCGGTGCCCAGGGAGGGGCATGAACAAGCTGAATGGCTCATGGGTCTCCTCTGCAGGACACTGGATTCAGGTCCTGCAGTGCCGGCAACGCTGTGTAGGGGAAACAGCCACACGCCCTGGTCGCAGCTTCCCTGTCCCAGACTTCCTTCCCAGCCAGCTGAGGCGGCTACATGAGGCCCATGCTCAGGGTCAGTTTGGGAAGGGTGGAAACGCGGAGTGAAGATTTGCCTCTGCTGCTATCCTGAGCTCCATCTTTCTATCCCTCCCATCTGTCTCTGGATTTGTAGTTTCACTGTCAGGGCTCCATGGGAACCATCACTTCACAAGGACTCTAATTTGCTCTCCTTTGGCGCCTGTGACAAGCTCAGGAGATGGGCTTCCTTCTGCCTTGCTGCTTCTCACCTTCCTTTATTTTCCTCCCTCTTGCTCTTCTTTGAAATCTCCAGCTAAGGTATGTTTGCACCAGCGTTTGAAAGAACCGGCAGTTGAACTTGTCTGCCAGTGGGAGGGGGGCTCTTGGAGTTGGCCAGCTGGCCTCTGGAGACCACCTTCTCCAGCACTGCCTCTGCCCCAAGGATCAATGTGCTCTAAGTCTTTATCCCCTGACCCCTGACCTTGTCACTCCCTCTCCAGTGGGCAATCTGTCCCAGGCTATAGAAAATGTCCTGAGTGTCCTGCTCTTCTACCCGGATGATGAGGCTGCCAAGAGGGCTCTGAACCAGTACCAGGCCCAGCTGGGAGAGCCGAGACCTGGCCTCGGACCCAGAGAGGTAACCCCCTCTCCACACGTACCTGGGAGGTAGCCCCAAATCAAACAAATAGACCTGAGAAGTAACCTGGACCCCCACCCCCTGCTGACCTCTTAGCCAGGCATTCTAGTCACCCAGAGGACTCCAAGTCCAGCGTCCGACTTCCATCTCCACTCCCTGCTCCCCACGGCAGCCTGGAGTTCCGATTCCAGCCCTCAGTCCCATCTCTCTTGCCTTTACCTCACTCCTGCCTGCCACCAGCCCCCGAGCTCATGCACACACACCCCCACACACTCACACACACTCCCACCCCCTACACCCTTTCCAGTTTGAGCCCAGACGCTCTGAAGCTGCTGAGGGGGAACGTTGAACGGAGGAACCGGGGGCATGGTGCCAGGTTCAGGGAGCATGGAGCACCCAGGCAGTGCCCTAGAGCCTGGGTTTCCCTGCCCTCCTTCAGCCCCGCTTCACTGCTCATCATCTCACCCTCAGGACATCCAACGCTTCATCCTCCGATCCCTGGGGGAGAAGAGGCAGCTCTACTATGCCATGGAGCACCTGGGGACCAGCTTCAAGGATCCTGTGAGTCATTCTGCTTCTGTCCCATCCCACCCCTCCGCACTCCCAGGAGGGATGGCACTTTGGTTTGCAACAGAGTTTTCCACTTTTCCACCATGAGGCTTGGAGAAGAGTCTGCCATCCCAGTTTTACAGGGACAGAGACAGTGTGCCTGTCGTTAGGGCAGCTTTGGGGTCACACAGGCCTAAGTGTCAGTCCTCCTCTGCCCCAAACATCTCTGAACTTCAACTTGCCTCTGCCTCAACTTCCTTACCTGTAAGTTGGAATAATCACATCTATTTCACAGGGTTGTCACAGCGTTGTTGAAACCACATCATTTGATAACAACATAGAAAGCTCTGTTACTGCTGCTTTTATTTCTCTTCTTGTAGTTATGAGAGGAAACTGCGGGGCAGAGGTTATCTGTGGCTAGGACTAGGGCATAAAGCAGGCGTTCTCAGCCTTCCTGGCACTACTGATATTTTGGATCTGACATTTTGGATAATGCTTTGTTGGGGCAGAGGGCAGGGCCTGTCCTATGCCTTGGAGGGTATTCAACAGCTTCCCTGGTCTCTACCCAGTAGAGATCAATAGCACATTGACAGCCCCTGAGTCATGACAATCAATGATGTTTCCAGACTTTGCTTAATTGACCCCTGGGGGGCAGAAGTATCCTGCTTGAGAACCACTGGTTAAAAGTGAGAACTCTGAAGCTAATTTTTTAATTTTAATTTTAATTTTTGGAGACAGAGTCTCGCTCTGTCACCCAGGCTGGAGGGCAATGGTGCGATCTTGGCTCACTGCAACCTCCACCTCCCAGGTTCAAGTGATTCTTCTGCCTCAGCCTCCCGAGTAGCTGGGATTACAGGTGCCCACCACCTTCCCTGGCTAATTTTTGTATTTTTAGTAGAGACGGGGTTTCACCATGTCGGCCAGGCTAGTCTTGAATTCCTGACTTCAGGTGATCCACCTGCCTCGGCCCCCCAAAGTATTGGGATTACAGGCGTGAGCCACTGCACCTGGCCTGAGGCTAGTTGAAAACCTGACTCTGCTTTGGGAGGCTGAAGTGGGCCTTGGTCAGGAATTCAAGATCAGCCTGGACAACATAGTGAAACTCTGTCTCTACTGAAAATACAAAAAATTAGCCAGGCGTGGTGGCGGGTGCCTATGATCCCAGCTTCTTGGGAGACTGAGGCAAGAGAATCACTTGAACCCGGGAGGCAGAGGTTGCAGTGAGCCGAGATCGCACCATAGCACTCCAGCCTGGACGACAGTGTGAGACTCTGTCTCAAAAAAAAAAAAAAAAAAAACCACCAAACAAAAAAGTAACTCTGTCACTTCTAGCTGTGTGATCTTGAGCATGTTACTTTACTTCTCCATATTTCAGGGCTCTCAATGACAAAATGAGCACTTTAATATTGTCTGTTTCATGAGACTATTGTGAACTTTAAAGGAGAAATTCAATTTCCATGAATGAAGCTCTTAGAATAGCCCCCAGCTGATAGATAGTAAGTGCTATAGGAGTTATAGTTGTACTTGTTACAGAGTTTGGTCCACTGCCCAGGGCGCCTGACATTGATTCTCAGGCTCTTCCTACCTCCGTCTCCCTCTCTGGAAACAGGAGGACCTTAACGAGATATTTCAGCTCTAATGTCAGGGATCCCAGGGTCTGATCTTGGTGGATGATGATGCTTTTCTGGACTGTCACAGGACCCCTGGACCCCTGCAGCTCTCATCCCTGAGGCACTTAGAGAAAAGCTCAGGTAGGAGATGCCCTGTGGTGGGAGGCACTCGGCCTGAGCTGGGAGGCTGGGTCTGGACTGTCCTGTGCACCCACTGAGCACATCTCTCACCCCTGAGAGAGGATCAAGAGAAGAGGCCTTGGGACCATGAGCCCCCGAAGCCAAAGCCCTTGACCTACTGGAAGGGTGAGTTCCTGGGAGGGAGGAGACAGGAGCCTGGAGGGTCTGGGGGCTGCCAGCTACTGCTCTGCCTGCCCTTAGGGGTTGCTCAGCCACCTCTGCTCTGTCTTTTCCCTGGCAGATGTCCTTCTCCTGGAGGGTGTGACCTTGACCCAGGATTCCAGGCAGCTGAATGGGTCGGAGCGGGCGGTGTTGGATGGGCTGCTCACCCCAGCCGAGTGTGGGGTGCTGCTGCAGCTGGCTAAGGTAGGAAGACCTGCAAGTTCATCAGCTCGTTCAAGACCCTTGGGTACAGCTGCCTGTTCCCTTGCTCTTGGCCTGCCCCCCTCGTTCTGCCTGTCCTGATTATCCAACCGGGACTGTGCTTACCACTGCCTCTCAGCTGCGGATAAGTTCCTTCGTGTCTTAATTTAGCTGACACAGGTGGATGTTCTTTACAAATTTTATGAATTTTGCTAGAAATTGATAGGAAGAACAAAACAAAAACCACAAAGGCATAAAAATGGATGAGTGTGCAGGTAAGGATTGCTTGGTTAGCCAAGAGTTTAGTTACTGGCTTGACTGATGGCTCAGCAGACACGCAGGCCTTTCTTTCCCTCCTTCTAGTTTGGGCTGAATGACTCATACTCACCAGGTTGAGGCTACCATTTATGAAGCTTCAACCCTTATCTCAGGTTAGTGCTCATTCAGTAACATACTCATTGAGTAGCTGCTGTACCCCAGAAACTGCTAGGTTCTAGGGAGAGGAAGATGATTATAGACTCCACCCTTTGGGAGCTCCAGTGTAGAGGTGGAAACAGACAAGGAAATACATAATATAAGCAGGTGGTAAGTTTGGTAAAAGAAGTATGTACTTGGGCTGGGTGCGGTGGCTCATGCCTGTAATCCCAGCACTTTGGGAGGCTGAGGCGGGTGGATCACCTGAGGCCGGGAGTTCGAGACCAGCCTGACCAATACGGAGAAACCCCGTCTCTACTAAAAATACAAAAAAATTAGCCAGGCATAGTGGCACATGCCTGTAATCCCAGCTACTTGGGAGGCTGAGGCAGGAGAAGCGCTTGAACCTGAGAGGTGGAGGTTGTGGTGAGCTGTTATTGTGCCATTGCACTCCAGCCTGGGCAGCAAGAGCGAAACTCTGTCTCAAAAGAAAAAAAAAATGTACTCATCCAGATAGAAGTGCTGAAATGCGCAGTTACAGAAGGCTTGCTGGAGAGGTGGTGTTTGAGCTCAGTCTTAAGGATAAGTTAACCAGGTGATGGGGGCGTGGAATCAGTCTAAGAGGGACAAGAGCAAGGTGCATTCTGGGAACTGCAGTCAAGCACAGGGGTGAGAGCAGGGCCAGCTCCAATAGTCATTACCTGTGTGATCTTGGGCAATTTATTTTAATATCTCTGAACCTAGTTTGCTCATCTATAAAATGGGGATAATAATAGTGTTTTTGTCATAGTGTTGTGAGGATTAAATGAGTTAGCACATGGTAAAGCTCTTAGAACATAGAATCATCACTGGCTGGGTGTGGTGGCTCATACCTGTAATCCCAGCACTTTGGGAGGTCAAGGCAGGTGGATCACTTGAGGTCAGAAGTTCAAGACCAACTTGGCCAGCATGGTGAAACCCGGTCTCTACTAAAAATACAAAAAAAATTAGTGGGCATGGTGGCAGGTGCCTATAATCCCAACTACTGGGGAGGCTGAGGCAGGAGAATCACCTGAACCCAGGAGGCAGAGGTTGCAGTGAGCCGAGATCCCGCCATTGCACTCCAGCCTGGTCAACAAGAGCAAAACTCCATCTCGAAAAATAAATTTTTTTTAAAAAATTAATTAATTAAGAACATAGAATCATCAGGATGTATGTTACCAAGAGGCAGTATAGGGGAAGAGGGAGAGAGCCCAGACATGAAGGCCCAGGGACAGTGAGGGTCTTCTGTGGCCTCCCAAGGAGTTTGGACTTTATCTGTGTATGGTAGACAGCTACTGAAGGATTTTAGGAGCAGTTGACTTTTGCATTCCTGTAGAACCTCCAAGTGCAGGGTCTGGAGTAACCTGTAGAAGTGGTAGATCCCTCTAGTGGCAGTGCGTAGAATGCAGCAGGAGAAAAGACCGTGAGAACGGACTAATTGACAAGTGCCACTGTTGGCTGGCGAGGTGGCTCACACCTGTAATCCCAGCACTTCAGGAGGCTGAGGCGGGTGGATGGCTTGAGCTCAGGAGTTCCAGACCAGCCTGAGCATTGTGGTAAAACCCCGTCTCTACAAAAAATACAAAAAATTAGCTGGGCCTATGCACCTATATTCTCCCACCTACTTGGAAGGATCTCTGGAGCCTGGGAGGTGGAGATTGCAGTGAGCTATGATCGCGCCACTGCACCCCAGCCTGGGTGATAGAGCAAGACCCGGTCTCAAAAGCAAAAAACAAAAAACCCAGGTTAGATGGCTTGGGTGACTCGGTGTCTCTCAGAAGTGAGATTTGTATGCAGGGGTAACTAGATAGTGGTACTTAAACAGATTCAAAAAGTGGACAAAAAAATGGGTGTCAGAAAAGGGAATGATTCCAGTGTAGACATCCAAATATTAGGAGACCTCCAGGTAGTGAGACTGGTCACATAGGTGGCTGGGTAATTGTGACTCAGTATCAAGGAGTGGGGGAGCCACGGAGTCCACAGTTTCCCCGAGAGAATGTCAGGTGGGAAGAGGTCAGAGAGGGATAGCCCGCTGATGCTGTCGCCCTACCGCCAGTCAGCTTCCTGCCGGGACCTGGCCTAACTGTGGAACTTCCTGTTAGGGTCCTGTTTCCTGAGAGACTCCTCTATTCTTGGCTCATCAGGGATTAATGATCAAGCCCTTCCTGCCTAGTTCCCAGCTCTGCCCCACTTTCCCAGCTGTCCCTACCCTCTCAGAGGCCCCCTTACTGCTGTAGGAAGCTCTCCCGAGTTCTGTCCACAGTCCCCTTGGTAAGCAGGATTCCAGCCTGTACCACAGAGGGACAGTCGGCCAGCCGTGGCGGGGGGCACTCTCTGGGAAGGAGCAGCATTCAGGAAGACGAGCCGCAACAGAACTGTGGGAGCATCTAGCTTCTTCTGGAGAGCGGGAGGGCCGGAGGGAGGGTCTTGCAGCCCTGCAGACAGTGAGGGGCTGGGGGAGTGACACCACGGTAAACTCCTCCCTATTTAGGATGCAGCTGGGGCTGGAGCCAGGTCTGGCTATCGTGGTCGCCGCTCCCCTCACACCCCCCATGAACGCTTCGAGGGGCTCACAGTGCTTAAGGCTGCACAGGTGAGCACAGGAGGTACCTGGATCCGTTTGATGCCCAGACCTGGAGGAGAGGCTGTGCAGGAAGCCGGGCCCCAGGGCCTGGGCTTTTGTGAAGGAGCTTTCTTGGGACCGAGACTACCTGATAGGACCCAACATGGAGAAAAGGGATGTTCTGAGAGCTGGGGCCGGGGTTGTTGTCATGGAAAGACAGAAGGAGCAGTTTGGGCTGATGGACAGAGCTGCATGCTGAGAGACTCCAAACCTCCGGGTGGAGAGCAGCAGAGATGGGCAGGAGCTAGGGCTGAGACCACCTTCCCATTGCCTTCCTCCGTTTCTGTGCTGCCTTTCGCTGCCTGCAGCTGGCCCGGGCTGGGACAGTGGGCACTCAGGGGGCTAAGCTGCTTCTGGAGGTGAGCGAGCGGGTGCGGACCTTGACCCAGGCCTACTTCTCCCCGGAACGGCCCCTGCATCTGTCCTTCACCCACCTGGTGTGCCGCAGCGCCATAGAAGGTATGACAGGGACCCCCACTGCTCTTCTCCAAGCTCAGGCCCTGCCCCCAGGACACTGCCCCCAAGAGCCCCAGGGTGGATGTGCATGGCATGAGCCCACAGGGTGGCAGATGGGCACAGGGGCACAGAGGTAGCCCCAGACCCCTTTGTGTCCTAGGAGAGCAAGAGCAGCGCATGGACCTGAGTCACCCAGTGCACGCAGACAACTGCGTCCTGGACCCCGACACAGGAGAGTGCTGGCGGGAGCCCCCAGCCTACACCTATCGGGACTACAGGTGGGCAGCCCCTCTAGGGGTCAGGCAGGTGGGCAGACAAAGGTCATCCCACTGCTGGCCTGGGCCTGGGTTGGGGTCTCACTGCGTCTTGCCTTTTTCCCTCCGCAGTGGACTCCTCTACCTCAACGATGACTTCCAGGGTGGGGACCTGTTCTTCACGGAGCCCAACGCCCTCACTGTCACAGTGCGTGGAGTGGGGGGTGTGACGGTGTGACAGAGGGCCCAGCTGTGGGGTCAGGATTCAAAACAGAAGGTTCCAGAGGCAAATGCAGGGAAATGGCCAGTGCTTTTAACCCTTTCACTTCCCTGCCTCCCCAGCCCTCCCGCTGCTTCCTCCGTAGCTAGGTCTGCAGGTGGGCCCCCCAACCCTGCCATCACTATTCGTCTCGCCTCCTAAAGAAGGGTGAATGAAGCACAGCTTGCAGGTGCCTCCAGGACTCCATGGCCCTATTCTAGGGATTTGGGGAACTTGAAATAGTCCTTCCTCTTTGCAGTGAGATGAGCACAGTGGCTGGCGCACAGATACCAGGGCCACCTCGACTGGGGCTCACATTCTTAACCTTTCTGAGGTTTAGTTTCCTAAATTGAGGTGATAATAATAGTACCTATTTTTCTTTTTTTTTTTTTTTTTTGAGACGGAGTCTCGCTCTGTCACCCAGGCTGGAGTGCAGTGGCGCGATCTTGGCTCACTGCAAGCTCCGCCTCCCGGGTTCATGCCGTTCTCCTGCCTCATCCTCCCAAGTAGCTGGGACTACAGGCGTCTGCCACCACGCCTGGCTAATTTTTTGTATTTTTAGCAGAGACGGGGTTTCACCGTGTTAGCCAGGATGGTTTCGATCTCCTGACCTCGTGATCTGCCCGCCTCAGCCTCCCAAAGTGCTGGGATTATAGGCGTGAGCCACCTCGCCTGGGCAATAGTACCTATTTTAAAGGGTCATTGTAGGAAGTAATTTAGGTAATGTACCTAAAAGAATGAGGCAGTGCCTGGTAATAATAAGCAATTAATGACTGTTAAGTGGGAAATTTCTAGATGCCAGGGGCTAGGATTGGGTAGGAGGAGAGGGGCAGTGATTTTTCATCTGGGTGTGGGGTGTGAAAATGGCTCCAATATCCATATCCCCTTCTACACAGAGTCTAGTACTGCATGCCCGCCCCCAGATTGCTTCACATCCTGGGTTCAAAGGGCTGAGTTGGGAAAATCAGGGTACCGGGGGTCAGGAACCAACAGGAGACCCTCCGTGGAGACCCCTTTTTCCTTTGGTTTCCAACTCCTCTTGCCTTAATCTGGCATTTTTGCTCTGCAAGTTGAAGCTGATTTCCCATTCGCCCCAAGCTAGTCCCTGAATTAAGGAGTGGGAAGTGATAGCGAGAGGGCTGACCCTCTCTGTGGCCCTGTCCCCATCCTGCTCTAGGGAGTGAGGGCCAAGTTCTCTGAGAGAGCCGGTCCCTGGAGCTGAACCTGCCCTCATCCCCCCAGGCTCGGGTGCGTCCTCGCTGTGGACGCCTTGTAGCCTTCAGCTCCGGTGGGGAGAATCCCCATGGGGTGTGGGCCGTGACTCGGGGACGGCGCTGTGCCCTGGCGCTGTGGCACACATGGGCACCTGAGCACAGGGAGCAGGTAAGGAGTGGGGTAGGAAGGGATGTGGTTCTCCTGGTGCGTGAAGGGTGGGCAGGCACCCCTGAGAAGGCTCACAGTCGGTGAGGGGCAGGGGCTGAGCTGGCCCAGGGAAGGTGGGTGCAGGGAACTGGCCACATTCTCCTCCCCAACCCCAGGAGTGGATAGAAGCCCAAGAACTGCTGCAGGAGTCAGAGGAGGAGGAGGAGGAGGAAGAGGAAGAAATGCCCAGCAAAGACCCTTCCCCAGAGCCCCCTAGCCGCAGGCACCAGAGGGTCCAAGACAAGGCTGGAAAGGCACCTCGGGTTCGGGAGGAGCTGTGAGTGGCTGAGCCAGCTCCTTGAGGATGGGGCCACTTGACTTGTGCAAGGCCATCTTGATGCCAGGACCCACAGAAAGCCCCTGCGTGACATCAGGAGCAGAACAGCAAGCTCTCTGTCCCTGCACCCCCACCATCTTGGGGACCCACAAGGGCCTGGACTCAGAGGACAATGCACAGGGTAGCCTGGAGCTCACCAGGGCTGGGGAGCCGGGACTGGGCCCAGCTGCCAGACCTGCAGCCCCGGACAGATGGGGAACACTGTGTCTCCCTGAACGGAAATGGCAGGGGAGGAGGCTGATGCTTTACATGAAGAGGATGGTGGGGTTGGGGGCATAACCCTGCTGCTCTCTCCCACTCTGTGCAATAAAGGTCATGAAGATCCCTCAGCCAGGGGCCAGTCGAGTGTATCACAGATTCCGTGATAGCTGGAGGTGGGGGTGGCTCTGGCTGGCCTGGGAGGAGACAGGTGTCTTTGGGCCTCCCAGAGGCGGGGCCCCTGGAGCCTGTGATTTGTCAGGGAAATCTCAGCCACCTGCTCCCCTCATGCAAATGACCCAAGCCCCTGGCAGCTGCTCCTTAGGCCTCCAAGTCTAAGCCCTGTCTTCCCTCTCGGAGCTTTTGCTGAGACTTAGGGCCGCCTGCTTTCTCTCTGACTCCTGCTTTCACAGCCGCAAGAGGGCAAGGAGGGGGCGAGGCCGCAGCCTGGCAGCAGGGTGCGGGGCTTCCCTTGCCCACCCACAACAGGGGCAGACCTGTCCATCGTTCTCTGTGGGTCCCCTGTACCTTTCTCCCCCCACAGGATCAGACCCAGAGGCAGCTGGTTGGGGTTTGTCGAGAAGAAGGATTATCCAGATCAGTCCTTTCTAATCTCAGCTCCTGCCTGTACCCTCCCATACTCACCAAACCCTCTTCCCCACCACCCTGAGCTAAGGAGCACAGTTTGAGGTACTGACAACGGGGCCATCTATCACCCTTATATCCCGCTTTCTGGCCTGCTTGCTAAGTGGCCCTGACTGCTGAGATTATCACCACAGATGGGGGCCCGGACCGGGGTGGCCACTGGAGCTGTAGTTGCTTCTGCTCCTTTGCACCCCTCCCAAACCCCAACCCTTAATCTACTCACAGCTTTGCTCTAATCCCATGGGGCCTGATGCTCTTATCTCTGCCTGCAGAGACTGACCAGGGAAGCGCCCCTTCACCCCCCTCCCCTCTCAGGGCTTGTGGTGGGGGCTGCTCCTCTCTACGGCCCCACATCCCGCCCCCACCCCTCCTCCAGGCTGGGCCCAAGTCTCTGGAAGCCACACACCTCTCTCCCTCCCTGTCCTCTTCCCCCCACCCCTGCCAGCTGATTTCATTTGCCTGACGTTGTGGTTGGCTCTACCCTTCCCTGTCAGGCCCCCCCAACCCCCCGCCGGTCGGAGCCAGGCCAGGCCAGCTCCTCTGGCAGCAGAGCCTGGGCAGGTGACGGGCGGGCGCAAGCGTCGCAGCTGAGGGAGTAAGGAGGCTCCCAGGAACCGGAGCTGGAAACCCGGCCGAGGTCCAGCCAGAGCCCAAGTAAGAGGGAGCTGGCCTGGGCTCTGCTCTCCTGGGCTGGGGCGCAGGCAGGGCTCAGGCAGGCTGGGGCTGGAGGCAAAGGACCCCAAACTTGGAGAGCCTAGCTGGGGAGGGGGTGCAGCCACCCAGGCATTGCCCTGTGTCTTGGAGTCTGGTGTGGGCATGAAGGGCAGAAGCACAGCCTGGTGGGGGTTCCTCAACACGGACCCCATGTTCCTGGCAGGAGCCAGAGCTACCCCTCGACCTGTCAGCCATGGGGGAGATGGAGCAACTGCGTCAGGAAGCGGAGCAGCTCAAGAAGCAGATTGCAGTAACTCCAGAGCCCTCCCACTGGGGCCCCAGAAAAGAGCTGGGGACATGAGGGAGTGTGGCTCAGGGGGAGGGGACTGGGTTTGCTCTTGAGTGACTAGAAGTGACCAGGGACTTTCTAAACTTGGCTTGCATATTTGAGACCCCCAAGCCCCAGTGCCCCAAGCCCAACCTGCCTTGAAGGCCCATGCACCCACCACCCCCACCTTGCCCTTGCTCCCCTGATGTCTGCTTTCCCTGCAGGATGCCAGGAAAGCCTGTGCTGACGTTACTCTGGCAGAGGTAAGACCCCCTGTCCCCGCCTAAGGCAGGGCATTGCGGGAGGGGAAGGGAGCTCCCTGAGCTGCAATAGCCCGTTGCTCCGAGCATTAGTACAGCCTGTCCTTGGAGTGAGGAAACCCATTAATTAATTCATTCAGCCAACATTTAGTGGGACCTGCTCTGAGCCAGGCACCATATTGGATGGGAAAGATGCAGACACGGTTCCTATTCTTGTCCATAGGACAAGAGTCACCACAGCCCCCTCCCAGGGCCTTGAAGATGAAGAGGCGATAGTACTTTGTAAATGATAAAGCCCTTGTAGACTCTAATTGCTGGTGTTCTCTACTGTATTTTATTAATTCTAAGATGCACATTTCTTCACATTTTGACATCTCTGAAATCAAGATGCATTCAACAATGGATCATCGTTTCAATTAGAATTGGCAGCATCTTCTATTCTTAGTGATGCATCTTAGATTGGATTAAATATGTTAACAGTGAAGACTTTTTATGAGCCAGATACTGGGTTAAGCTGCATAAATACCTAATTTCATTTAATTTCATGATATCTCTGTAAGGTAGGTGCTATGTTAAGCCTCATTCTACACCTTGAGTAAACAGACTCAGGGAGGTGAAGTAACTTGCCCAAGATAACAAAGCAGGCCGGGCGTAGTGGTTCACGCCTGTAATCCCAGCACTTTGGGAGACTGACGTGGAAGGATCGCTTATGCTCAGGAGTCTGAGACCAGCCTGGGCAACATAGTGAGATCTCATCTTCATATAAAAAAATTGTTTTTAATTTTTCTAAAAAAAGATAACAAAGCAAGTGATGGCAAATCAAGTCTGTTCACTGTGGACCCCCAGCCTAAGTCTAAAATCTGGTTAGAGCTCAAGGGGCATAGTACCACAAATTTCCGGAGGTGCAGTTCAGGGTAACGGTGATGCCCCAGGCACCCAGTTAAAAAGCTAGCCCTGCTGCAGTGGTGGGTGACGGCAGGCTCCTCTCAGCTTGGAAGAGCCAACCGTGTGCATCTCTTCCCAAATCTGTTTCCAATGACCTCACATTGGCAGCTTGAAATTGGTCAACGTGCAAGATTCATATCATGGAAATCACCTTCCCACCTTCCTCACCAACACTGGAGAGGTGCTTGTTAAACACTTAGCAGCACACCCCTGGCCATGCATGCATCTCTTTCCCACATCAGTCTAAGACACTCCAGGACAGAGGCTTATTTCTCTAAGGCTGGGGGACTGACCTGGAGCCTGGCACAGAGCAGGAACTTGTATAGATCAGTGACAGACATCCAGGCATGTAACCTGCTCACCCCGATATTCAATGCCCCTCTCTCTGCAGCTGGTGTCTGGCCTAGAGGTGGTGGGACGAGTCCAGATGCGGACACGGCGGACGTTAAGGGGGCACCTGGCCAAGATCTATGCCATGCACTGGGCCACTGACTCCAAGTGAGGCTTTGGGGGGAACCGAGAATGGGAGGGGGAGAGCGGGAGTGAGGAAGGCGGGAAGGAGAGGCTTGTGTAATATGGGATGCCCTCTCCCCAGGCTGCTGGTAAGTGCCTCGCAAGATGGGAAGCTGATCGTGTGGGACAGCTACACCACCAACAAGGTACCAGCCCTGCCTCCCCGAGCCTCCACCGCCGCATCCTTCCTGGGGCGCTATGCCTACCCTCCTCTGCCCAGCTGGGAGCTTGGCTCCGGTGCCATCTCTGCTCAAACCACCCTCCCTGCAGGTGCATGCCATCCCACTGCGTTCCTCCTGGGTGATGACCTGTGCCTATGCCCCATCAGGGAACTTTGTGGCATGTGGGGGGCTGGACAACATGTGTTCTATCTACAACCTCAAATCCCGTGAGGGCAATGTCAAGGTCAGCCGGGAGCTTTCTGCTCACACAGGTGAGGGAGAGACCCTCTCCTCCCCTCCTGAGGGGTTCAGGGAATCCTGGGTTTCCAGTGGGCTGTGGCTATGCAGCCAGGGCACTGTCCTTCTAACCACCTCCAGGTTATCTCTCCTGCTGCCGCTTCCTGGATGACAACAATATTGTGACCAGCTCGGGGGACACCACGTGGTGAGGCTGAACGTTGTTGGTGCTGGGGCTTGGGAGTGGGCCTGGCCTGGCCTTTCTCTAACAGTCTCCCTCCCTTTTGGCAGTGCCTTGTGGGACATTGAGACTGGGCAGCAGAAGACTGTATTTGTGGGACACACGGGTGACTGCATGAGCCTGGCTGTGTCTCCTGACTTCAATCTCTTCATTTCGGGGGCCTGTGATGCCAGCGCCAAGCTCTGGGATGTGCGAGAGGGGACCTGCCGTCAGACTTTCACTGGCCACGAGTCGGACATCAACGCCATCTGTGTGAGTGCACCCCCTGCCCCCGCTTGACTCCAACTCCTTCCCCCGCACTCCCCACAACACATATAATACACATCCTCTGCCCCTCCCGTAGCTTCCCTAGCCCTTTCTTTCTTTCTTTTTTTTTTTTTTTTTTGAGACAGAGTCTCACTCTGTCGCCCAGGCTAGAGTGCAGTGGTGCAATCTCAACTCACTGCAACCTCTGCCTCCTGGATTGGAGCCATTCTGCTGCCTCAGCCTCCTGAGTAGCTGGGATTATATGTGTGCGCCACCATGCCTGGCTAATTTTTGTATTTTTAGTAGAGATGGGATTTTGCCATGTTGGCCAGGCTGGTCTTGAACTCTTGACCTGAGGCGATCTTCCCACCTCAGCTTCCCAGAGTGCAGTGCTGGGATTACAGGTGTGAGCCACCGTGCCCAGCCTTCCCTAGCCCTTTCTTTCTTTCTTTTTTTGGGGACAGAGTCTCACACTGTTGCCCAGTCTGGATGCAGTGGTGCGATCATGGCTCACTGCAGCCTCAACCTCCAAAGTTCAAGCAATCCTCCCACCACAGCCTCCTGAGTAGCTGGGACTACAGGTGCGTGCGACCACGCTTGGCTAATGTTTGATTTTTTTGTAGAGATGGGTTCCCACTGTTGCCCAGGCTGAGCTGGAACTTCTGAGCTCAAGCGATCTTCCTGCCTCAGTCTCCCAAAATATTGGGATTACAGGCATGAGCCACCACGCCCAGTCCATTTTGTCACGTTTGCTTTATCATTTTCTCTCTGTAGAGAAATAGCCATAGATACACACACACATACACACTTAGATGTAGATACACATTTTCTTTCTGTGTCTTTTAAAAGTAGTTTGCAGACATCATGTTTCCTTACCCCTTAAGTACTTCCTAAAACGAAGCCATTCTGTAACATAATCACAGTATGATTCTTAAAATCAGAAAATTTAACATTGACACAATACTATAGTCTACAGTCTATATTCAAATTTCACCAACTGCCTCAAAAATGTCCATAATAGCTATGGTTTTTTTCTGTCCAGGATCCAATCTAGAAACATGCATGACATTTCCTTGCCATATCTTTTTCGTCACCACCTTTAAACTGGAACTGTTTTCCCACCTTTAATTGTCTTTTATGTCATTGACATTTTTGAAGAGTACAAACCAGTTTTCTATAGACTCTCCCTCCGTTTGAGTTTATCTGACATTTCCTCGCAATGAGATTCAGGCCTTGCATTTGTACTTGACCCTGTTCTTACACACCCTGATCCAGCCCACTTGTGTAGTCTGAGTTTGGGACAACCTCCGTCTGCCCTTCTAGCCAGGTCACTGCAGGCAAGCCTTGGTGCTCTTGCCTGTGACATGGAAATGATGCCTGCCTGCAGCGCTGTATAGTGCAGAGCGGGCGAGGGGCATAGGGAAGTCAGTGGCACGTGGTACGTGTTGGCAGGGCTGCTTCTCATCCCAAACCAAGGAAGGGACAGGCAGAGAGGCTGAGAGCAGCGGCTTGCCCTGGAGCTGTCAGGTGGGAGCCAGAGGGCGGGAGAGGCTGTGGGCTGCCCAGGTCTGATCCCTGACCCACTTGCCACCTATGCCCTCAGTTCTTCCCCAATGGAGAGGCCATCTGTACGGGTTCGGATGATGCTTCCTGCCGCTTGTTTGACCTGCGGGCGGACCAAGAGCTGATCTGCTTCTCCCATGAGAGCATCATCTGCGGCATCACGTCCGTGGCCTTCTCCCTCAGTGGCCGCCTGCTGTTCGCTGGCTACGACGACTTCAACTGCAATGTCTGGGACTCCATGAAGTCCGAGCGTGTGGGTAAGGGCCAGCCCTGGCTGCGGCTTCCTCAGCTGGAAGGCCCCTCTCCAGCCCTCCCTCCTCATTCTGTACCCCCATCAGCTCCCATTTTGGACTCTCTTACTGCTGTCCTGGGTGACTCCACTCCTGGAATCCAGTACCCCTTGGCTCCCAACTAGGACTGTCTTCCCTCAGTTGCTCTAAGCAACCTCTCTCCCCTGCCCAATGCCATGGCTGCTCCCTGCCCTAGATCTGTAGACCATGACTGTCCAGTCAGTTCTGGGTTCCTGGCATTTCAGGGGCACCCACTGAGAGGCAAGACAGCCTCAGGGAAATATGGAATCAAGGCAGAATCAAGATCTAGAGTGGCCCGAGGGCCCTGACTCCTGCCTAGGGCTCATCTAAGACTAGCCTGAAGTTGGTCAGACAGGATGGCTTCTTCTCTATCAAGAGGCCAGGTGCTGATGAAAATAACACTGGGCAGGGGCAGAATCCGAATCCTAATTCTGTTGCTCACTCTGAGTGACCTTGCACGAGTCACTCCTCCGTGGGCCTCAGTTTCTTCATCTGGAAACAAAGAAATCAGATGAACGGTTGCCTTCTGCTTTCCAGCACCTGTCAAGGTGCCCTCAGTTTTTTTCAGAGTACACAGATGCTTCCAGCTTTTCTCTGTCTGATCCCAGCCCTCCCCCAACCAAAGCTCTTGAGAGAGAACCCCCTGCCCTACGGCTAATCCTCTTTCAGTCTCTCTGCCTTCTTCAGGGGTTGAGCCTAGCCTACCCAGTCTAGGATCCCTGCATGCATGTGCTCAGGCACGCATGCACAAACACACGTACACACACCCACACGTGCACACACACGCACGCATGCACACGTACCCCCGACACACACACGCACACACTTGCACACATGCACACACTGCTTTCCAAATCAGCTTGGAGACAGGCTGACTCCTTTCCCTCTTGCTCAGGCATCCTCTCTGGCCACGACAACAGGGTCAGCTGCCTGGGAGTCACAGCTGATGGGATGGCTGTGGCCACAGGTTCCTGGGACAGCTTCCTCAAAATCTGGAACTGAGGAGGCTAGAGAAAGGGAAGCGGAAGGCAGTGAAGATGCTCAGCGGCCCCTCCCCGACCCCATCTCATTCAGGTGTTCTCTTCTGTATTCCAGGTGCCATTCCCACTAAGCTTTCTCCTTTGAGGGCACTGGGGAGCATGGGGACTCTGCCTTTGGGAGGAAGCATCAGGGACACAGGGGCAAAGAACTGCCCCATCTCCTCCCATGGCCTTCCCTCCCCACAGTCCTCACAGCCTCTCCCTTAATGAGCAAGGACAACCAGCCCCTCCCCAGCCCTTTGCAGGCCCAGCAGACTTCAGTCTGAGGACCCAGGCCCTAGGATTCCTCCCCTGGAGCCACGACCTTTGTCCAGACCTGGGTGGTATAGGTGTTTGGCCCTGTGACTATGGCTCTGGCACCACTAGAGTCCTGGTCCTCTTCTTATTTATGCTTTCTCCTTTTTCTACCTTTTTTTCTCTCCTAAGACAACTGCAATAAAGTGTAGCACCCTGGTACATCTGTGATGTTTGCCTTCCACTCCCTTCTGTTCCCAAAAGACCCAGGTCCCATTTAAGGGCAGTAATGTGTTACAGGTGCTGTGATAAAGGCTAGGTACTGGACAGCTTGTGGGCTCATGGGAGGAGGCCTGAGATGGGTCAGGGGGAGAAGGTATTCAGCAGGTGGCTGGGGGACTGTGTGTGCAGCAGTTTGCTATGGCCTGCCTGTGGTGCCCATGTGTTTGTACGGGAGGGTTAGATTGAGAAGGAATCAGATTATAAAAGGTATTGAATGCCAAGCCAGAGAGTCCAGACGTTTTCCTAAGGGCAATGGGAAGCCATTAAGGAGTTCTGAGCAGAGTAGTAACACGTTCAGTTATGCTTCTCAGAAAGGTTGCTCCAGATCTTTCGGAAAGAAGCAGTGTAGGTTGATGAAAGGGAGGGAGGAAAGACTGGCACTAGGGAAACAAGATAGGAGGCAGGTGGCAAGAAATGCAAGAGTGACAGGACAGAGGGGTTAGGGAAAGGGATTAGGAAGAGATTAAAGACGTGGAATCAGCTGGAACAGTGGCTCATGCCTGTAATCCTAGAGCCTTGGAAGGCTGGCAGGAGGATCTCCTGAGGCCTGGAATTTGAGACCAGCCTGAGCACCATAGTGTGACCCTGTATCTACAAAAAAAATTTAAAATTACCTGGGCAGGCTGGGCATGGTGGCTCATGCCTGTCATCCCAGCACTTCACGAGGCTGAGGCAGGCAGATCACTTGAGCCTAGGAGCTTGAAACTAGCCTGGGCAATATGGCAAGACCTCATCTGTATAAAAAAAATACAAAAATTAGCCAGGCCTGGTGGCTCATGCCTGTAAGCCCAGCTACTCGAGAGACTGAGACAGGAGGATCACTTGAGCTCAGGAGGTTGAGGCTGCAGTGAGCTGTGATTGTGCCACTGCACTCCAGCCTGGGTGACAGAGCAAGACCCTGCCTCTAAGAAAACAAGCAAACAAACAAAATGTGGAATCACCAGGATTTAGTGACCAAATGCTAGGATAGAGGATATTGGGAGGGAAGGATTTGAGATAATGGCCAAGGTTTGAGTTTGGTGGCTGGGTAGATAATACTGTCATTCACAAGGATAGGGAAGAGGGCATGAGGAATAGCTTTTGGGGGAAGATCATGAATTCAGTTTTAGACAAACTGACTTTGAAGTATTTATAGGGCAGCTGGATAAAGGTCAGGGTTAGAGAGAGAGACCTGGAAGTTACCAGAATATAGGGAAGTGATAGCTAAAGCCCTAGAAGTAAACACCTAGGGAGAGCAGGAGGAAAGGGCCAAGGACAGAGCCATGGGGACACCATGGTTTAAGGGAGATGTGCAAAGGAAGCTCAGAGCATCGGTGGGCTCAGGCCAGGGAACACAAGGTCTCTAGGCTGCCATTCTACACACAGAAAACTCGGTGCAAGGTTTACATATACCTTTTTAAAGTAACATTTAAAATCACTTCCTTTAATATAAAAGAAACACACAAGACACAAAGAAAGCCCAATAAAGCTCTGAGTCCTCTGAGGAGGAGTCTAAGAAAACAAGCCTTTCCTCAGTATCCCTGGGAAAGAAGGGGTGAGAGGACACAGACGCCACCAGGCCCTGGGTGATTGCATTGCTGGGGCCATGCAAGGCCTAGCTCTCCACCAAGGGGAAGTGCTGATTTTCCTTGTCATGGTCCTGGCATTGTTCCCATGTTCGTCCTCCAGTTTTCAGAGGTCGTCCAGTTCCAAGAATGGCTCCTTCCTTTAGTTCACTAACATTTTCACTTAGGGGTGAAGGCCGCTTACCCTGAAAACGGCAGTATATGAGTTGGGGGGTTGCTGTTCAGGAGAGGGAAGATCTGGGTAAAAGGGTCTCCCACCCTCTACGTTGGATATCCTAATAACAGCTTTCACCTTCCCTTCCTTTACCTGTCGGAGTGTCAGGGTGCCAGGGGAGTTGTCATCCTGCAGGATGGTGAGGGGGGATCTCCCTAGTACCTTGCTGCTGTTTGGTTTCCATCTATTGCGCATAGAACCTGGGGTGGGTAAGGAGTTAACGCAAGGACCTAAAACTAGGACTCACAGTTTATTCCTCCCACACTCACCCATGGACCTTATCCCAAAACATTATCCTAGCTTATCTTCCCTACATCTTGCCTTTAGATTCTGTACCTGAAGATCTGGGAGTCTCAGGGTCCCTTGAGGGCTTGTCAGAGCTCTGGCTGGCCACAGGGGTTTCTGTGGGCTGTCTTGCTTCCTCCTTGGAAAACACCTGTTTGGAGGGGAACTCAGTCTGGTTCCAAGGTGGCATCTGTTCCTCAGCAGATAACTGGGTACCCAGAGGCAAGTCCAATTCAGAAGATAAAGGTGCCTCCGGGGGCAGAACAGGCTCTGGGGGAAGATTTGATTTAGAGTCTTCAGTTTCAAATACTTCACTCAGCTGTTTCACCAGTGGGCTTGGGGGGTCTAGAGGAAGAAAGTGAAGTGAACAGTGACCTTCTGATACGCAACATTCAGCAAGGAGCAAAAGATACAGGAACCTTAGGACTCATGCCCAGGTGAGTGAGCAAGTGGGAAGAGAGAAATCAAGGAAATCAAGGTGAAAGGGAGCAATTTTCCTTTTCTTTTTTTTTGAGATGGGGCTTGCTCTGTCCCCCAGGCTGGAGTGCAGTGGCATGATCACAGTTCACTGCAGCCTTGACCTCGTGGGCTCAAGAAATCCTCCCACCTCAGCCTCCTGAGTAGGTGGGATCACAGGCCCATGCCACCGTGCTTTTGTGTGTGTGTGTGTGTGTGTGTGTGTGTGTGTGCATTTTTTGTAGAGATGGGGTTTTGCCATGTTGCCTAGGCTGGTCTTGAACTCCTGGGCTCAAGCGATCTGACCACCCTGGCCTTCCAAAGTGCTGGGATTACAGGCATAAGCCACCGTACCCAGGCTGGGAACAAAACATTGAGATAAGAGTGAGATGGGTCTGAAGCAGGAGGATGGAGGACCCTTTAAAGATCCCTGAGAGAATGGCTTCATGGACCCTACCCAAGAATAATAGATGACAGTTTCATCAGCATTCCCTGGGCCCAACACTTACCTCCACTGCTGGTCTTCATAGGGGTCCGAGCAATACCAAGAGTCGGAGAGCGAGGATCTGAGTCCTGGGCATGTTTAAGACCCTCCAGTTGCTCCCCTGCTGGTAGGCCTGGCTGTGGAGAGCTCTCCACCTGTCAAGACCATAGGCTAGAACAAGTCTGGGCCCTGACTCTTCTCTCTTCTCCTCCCCATATTTCAGGAAGGAATTGCCAAGGCCCTCAGATATCCAGTCTACCCCACACAGATTGAGAATGCAGAAAATAAGGCCAGGATAAGGGTGGGGACATGAGGGCTCTCTCAAAATCAGGTTAGGAAGAGGCCCAAGAATTCAGACATTCTCTGCCTTTCCCACTCTGGCCCAGAGTACCTGGATGGGAGTGCGCAGGATGCCAGCACTAGGTGAACGGGGGTCCGCCACTCGAGCCAGATGCTTGTTGTGCGGCGGAGGCCGCGCTGGTGTGACTGGGACGCTCTTGGCTGAGCCCATCTCAACCAGGAGTTGCAGGGTAGGGGCAAGGGCCAGCCCGGGAAGAGGAAGGAATGCCTGTGAGAAGTGACTGAGGTCTCAGCCCTTATCCCTTCCACGTCGGACCCTCAACCCTAAACCACCCTATCTTCCCAGTTTCCAGCGAAGAAACTTCCTGGCGGGGGACGAGAGGCCTCTGCGGAGTTAATGACCGCTGCAGCTGACAAAATGGCTCATTCTGGGCCTGCCGAGCCCGCTAACTTGTTTATGAAATTATTCAAATCACTTACCGGGCTCCAATTCCACCTCTGGGTGCACAACAGCTCGTGGCGCAACTCCCGAAGTTACCAGTTTCAAACTTCCCGCCACGCCCCCTGCCCTGACCCTATTGGCTGAGCCGACGTAGATCCATAGGCCCTCCACGTAAGACCCGCCTCGAGCCAAAGGAAGCTGTTGGTCTGGGAGAACGTCTATCATGGTGACTGTCGGGGGGTCAATGGACTGATGCTAGGCTTGCCCAGAGGTGACGCCTCCTTGATAAGGGTACTTCTGTTCAGTATCGGGCTGCGAGCAGTCCGTGGTAGACTGAGGAGTGCCAGTCTTCGCTTTCGAGACGTCTAGTCTCAAGAACGAATTATTTTATTAAACAAAATAGAATTATGAGTGATTACACTATTATGCGCACATCCAGCTGGAGTCGTGGTTTTCCTGAGGCGAGCGATAGTAGCCTTATTGGTTGACAGCTTTATCAATCACTCGACACCACCCCCTCAAGCTCCGCCTCACTGGATACCCCCTTTTCAAATACCAAGACAACTGCCCCTCGACTTTCCGACGGGACAGGTCCCCAGGAAACTTTCTGGAAGTGAGAGACTTAAAACAACCGTCAGTTCCTGCTCTTCAATAGAAGGCACGCGAAGCGACCCTTAAGGTCCCGGAGCCGGAGGAGCTGCAACTTCGGAGCCCACCCAGCTGCTCTACGTGCGCTCCCGCCCTGGAGGAGTGGGATTGGTTCTTTCAACCATCAATTGCCTTAGGAGCGCTTCTCATTGGCGTCGGTCAAGCGCGGGGCAGGGGCGGAGCACCGGCAGGCAGGCTGTGTCCAACTGCCATTCTCGCGCGTCGTCCCCGCGGCGCATGCCCCTAACGAGTGGCGCTCATTGGACGGCAGGGACAGGGGCGGAGACTAGGAACGGTGGGAGCGGCGGTGTGTGGAGAAGCCGCTGCCGGTGTCATGGCGGAGCTGAGTGAGGAGGCGCTGCTGTCAGTATTACCGACGATCCGGGTCCCTAAGGCTGGAGACCGGGTCCACAAAGACGAGTGCGCCTTCTCCTTCGACACGCCGGTAAGCCCATTCCCCACGCCCGCAACGAGCACGACTGCCTTCCATCGCCCTGGTCATTCCGCCGGGGCCTGCAAGGCTTGGGCTACCGCCTCCCTGCGATGCACCATGGGACTTGTAGTCTCCCACGCTCCACTCTGCCGTTGCCTTTCAGTAACTGCGGCTGTCTTGTGACTACTGCCCCCGGAAGCCGCCGCGCTCACCTCGTCAGCTCCCCGCCTCGTGGAGCACTGTGGGCATTGTAGTTGCTCACTGCCCTCGTTGTCGTTCTAAGCTAGGGGTGCAGCCAGACCGTCGGACTACATCCCCCAAGTGGACCCTTGAGAAAACCTGGCAGTCGGCCTTGTCTGCCGCGCACGGCTCTCCGGGTTTTGTAGTCTTGTGTGGGAGTGATGGGGGCGACTCCCCACTGTTCTCGGCCGGGGTTGGAGTTGTGGGGTGGGGTCCGCAGTTCCTAGGCGGTTAATAGTCGGGGAATGGGCTCTCAAGAAGTCCGGTTCTGAGAAAGGAAGAGCTAGAGAGCCTTCACCCTGTGGTTAAAACGGACAGGGGGCGGGGAGGGGAGGAAAGAGGAGAGGAAAGCTCTAGTCGTTTCTCCTTTGAAGTGAGCAATGGCCGCAACCCCCACCCTTCCTCCGCCCCCCAGCCTATCACAGACAGCTGAGATAACCCCTTTTAAAGTATTCCTAGAGTGGTGGTTTCTTTCTTGGAGGATGCTAAGGCCTCTTTCCCATCCCGCTCCCACTCTTGGCTAGTTACACAAAGCCACCTCCCACACCATGCTTCACGTTTTGCAGGCTCCACCTGGTACCTCCCTTCCTGCAGTTCTGCCTTCCTGTGTCACCCTCAAGCGGAGGCCCTTTGGGGCCTGAACTGAGAAGGCAGCAGCTTGGTTGGGATCCGCCCCCCTCACCACCCCTCCCCTCAAGCTACTGGGCCCTGCCCAGGGTATTCTGCCAGACCAGCTCATGGCCTGAAAACTGCAAGTCAGAGTGGAAAGCCTTCATTACTGCATCACCAGTACTGAGTAGAATGGCATGATGTGAGGCCCAGTTCAGGATCATCACTGTGATTTGTGGTTTGCTTGGTTTACTAGGCTTTGATCTGGGCCTCAGACAATGTGCTGCTTCTCTGAAGTCTGGCTTTGGCAGAGGTAAAAGAAGACTGTGCAGAGCAGAGCTCCAGGGTTCCCAATCCTTGGTGAAATCAGCATCTTTAATTTCCAACAGAGGAGTTTAATCACTTCAGAGCTCCCACATTCTTCCCAGGAGGAAATGTTTTTTTAAATTACCAGCAGATGGTAGAAGTCAGTGGGCCCCTCTTTACACTGACATTCACTCCTGTCTCTCTCCTTAGTAACGGCTTTGAATAATCCAAAAAGGGTTTTTGTAATCTTCTGACACTTTGCCTCTTTCACCCCAAGTCAAGAGATTTTCAATGTGCCCTAGTTCTTTGCTAACCAACTTCCAGCATATTTGGTTACCTTCAGATTGGGTTCATGGTAGAAAGAGCTTAGTTGACCTCCCTGGTGAGAAATGCTCTATTTGTTCATGAACTTGCAGTACACACTGTTCTAGGAGGTGGTACAGAGCAATCTATGGGCCCGAGGACTACCTTAGTGCACTATTTTTCATATCACAGCAGAGAAATGTTCAAGGCCACTGAGACTTTTATTCCTGGAAGAGGATGCCTGTTGTTGCTCAAAGCCTTGGATCTGAGGGAAGACCCTTACTTTCTCCAATTTCCTCCTCCACCTTCTCCATCACTCTTTACAAAGGCACTGGAGAACTTGGTCAGCTTTGGGGGAAGCCCATCCCCTTCTCAGCTGTGTTTCTGGGTGGACACCCATTTGTCCCTGTTTTCATGGTTATGTGCGTTCTAGCTACCTCAGCAAGTGTTGCGAGATTGTTGTCAGAAGGGGATGGCTTTGAGATTGGTGATTGTTGGGACTTCAGCAGGGATCTTAGTGGTCAGAGGGGAGGCAGAGGAGAGAGGGTGGTGGCTATAGAATGCTGGACTTGATGACCCTGCCAGACGGGGTGCAGGTTTAGCTGTGAGTCCCTAACAAGTCATTGTTTCCCTGGAGCCACACTTCAGCAGGAGAGGAGGGAGAAGACTCACAGTGTGGACCAGGGTTTGACTACCTGGTAGAGTGTGGTAAAGGAAAGGTGTTTTTGGCTGGATGTTTAGTCTTGCCTTTGTAATCCCAGCACTCTGGGAAGCCAAGGTGGAAGGATTGTTCAAGGCCACAAGTTAAAGACCAGCCTAAGCAACATAGTGAGACTCCATCTCTAAAAAAAGAAAAAAATCTAGGCATGGTGATGTGTGCCTGTAGTCACAGCTCCTTTGGAGACTGAAGCAGAAGGATCACTTGAGCCTGGGAGGTTGAGGCTGCAATGACCTATGATCGTGCCACTGTACTCCAGCCTGGGTGACAGAGTAAGACCCCGTCTCTAAAATAAATGTTTTTGTTTTTTTAAAGGAAAGGTAGTTTTGCTTGCTGGCACACTCGGATCAGATATACTGTGCAGGTGCTGGAATCTCGGCTTCTCCGGTCTGGAAGGTTTTCTGAATCATGGAGATCAGATAGGGTTTGTCTTAGGTGTCCCTGGTTTGGGTTCAGTGTCTGACATGAAAGTCCTTCCTCTCCCACGGAGGGACCCTTTTCCCCTTGAATGTCATCTCCAGCACCGGAAGGCCACAATATTTGATCGCCATTGACTTTCTGGATCTGTTAGCCCCAGGAAGGAAGTGAAGGAAGTCCTCTGTGATTGATTGAAGAGCTCCAAAGCCCAAGAAGGAGCAGGTGGAAAGATAAATGGAGGCTGGGGTTGAATGGCGAAGATGAGCTGGTGTTCCTCAGCCCCCTGATGCCCTTGTTGGTTGTTATCAAAGTCATGGGAGGAAATGGGGAGAATCTTAGCTATGTCCCAGGTCCTAAAAGGCTAAGTAGCTTGCAGGGGCCCCACAGTGTTAGCGGACAGAGCATCTCTCTGGAACCAGCGGTTCTGACTCCGGGTTTTGGTCTCCTCTCCTGACCAGGCTCATAACCTCCTCGTGTTTTCACCCTTACCTCTTGTCCCGCAGGAGTCTGAGGGGGGCCTCTACATCTGTATGAACACGTTTCTGGGCTTCGGGAAACAGTATGTGGAGAGACATTTCAATAAGACTGGCCAGCGAGTCTACCTGCACCTCCGGCGGACCCGGCGTCTGGTAGGGACAGGGCTGGGGCAAGGCCTGGGTACATTCTGTTCCATTCTGTCTGTATTCTGACCTACTATTGGACTCAGTTTCTTTTTTTCACCTACTTTTGTGTCATTAAAGCTTGGCACAGATGTTTTTTAGCTTTATTCTGAGATGAACCACTACCTCCTCCCGTCTCTCCTCCCCACTTGTTCCTTCGCTCATGCTCATTGCTGATCCAGCCCTTCCTGCTTCTTTGCAGAAAGAGGAGGACCCTGCTACAGGCACTGGAGACCCACCCCGGAAGAAGCCCACGCGGCTGGCTATTGGTGAGCACCACTGCACTTCTATTCTTCTGCCTGAGCTGGTCTTTCTGGCTCTCAGCAGCACCAGGAAAGCCCCAAAGAGTGGGCCTGATTGATGGCCCTAGAACTCTGGGTGGGGCAAGTGAGCTGCTGGATCGGAGGAGGGACACTGACCTGTTGTCATTGCTCTACTCTCCCTCTTTTTCCCTGTCCTTCCAGGTGTTGAAGGCGGGTTTGACCTTAGCGAGGAGAAGTTTGAATTAGACGAGGATGTGAAGATTGTCATTTTGCCAGATTACCTGGAGATTGCCCGGGATGGACTGGGGGGACTGCCTGACATTGTCAGAGATCGGGTATGACTCCCTCCCACGCTCCCCAAGATTCTAGAGCAAGATGGGCCAGGGTAGTGATGTCTGAGGCAAGCACTGACAAAGCTGAAGGCCAAGGGGAAGAGGGGCATGTGGGGCAGGGGGTTGGGTACTGCCTCTGACCCTCTGCTTCCCCCAGGTGACCAGTGCAGTGGAGGCCCTACTGTCAGCTGACTCAGCCTCCCGCAAGCAGGAGGTGCAGGCATGGGATGGGGAAGTACGGCAGGTGTCTAAGCATGCCTTCAGCCTCAAGCAGTTGGACAACCCTGCTCGAATCCCTCCCTGGTGAGGCCTGGCCCCTCTGCCTCGGGCATCACCCCCAGAGCAAGGACATGGAGACCACTTTTCTGGGGGATCTGGTGGGAGAGAGGGTAGGAAGCAGGACAGGAAGGGAAACTTGGAAATGAACAAGACATGGGGATGGCCAGAGGAGAGGAGAGAGAGACCTTGGATTGGCAGGGGGCCTGCAGAGCCCCCTCTCTCTGCCACTCCCACAAATCCCCGACCCACATTTCCGCTGATTCTCTTCTCCCTGGGTTAGTGGCTGGAAGTGCTCTAAGTGTGACATGAGAGAGAACCTGTGGCTCAACCTGACGGATGGCTCCATCCTCTGTGGGCGACGCTACTTCGACGGCAGTGGGGGCAACAACCACGCTGTGGAGCACTACCGGGAGACGGGCTACCCATTAGCTGTCAAGCTGGGCACCATCACCCCTGATGGAGCTGGTACAGCCTCCCCTCCTCCAGCCACTCTCATGCTTAAATGTATTTCATTTGTTAGTAATTT